ACTAAATAATAATTACACAAGAATCACGTGGTGAAAAAAACTACTAGCCAAAACATAAACAAGAAAATCAGCTTTCAAAGTATCTTCTCCTACAACTATGTGACAGACTTTATATTAACAGATATGAATTAGATAAACTGATCCAAAGCAATGATATCATTCTGTTAGGAAAATGACCACAGTATTATGGTTAATGCACATGTAAGAACTACAAAACAAAAAGGAAAATAAAATTGCAACCCAAGTGAGGGATTCATTTATTGAATGAAAAATTATTCAATTTCATCAACTGAGAAAGGTATGCTATAGTCACAACACAGAACTTGAAAAACCCTATTATCATAAATTTCAATGAAAACTAACAATAAAACTTAAGTGATATCTTGTCTTAGAGAAAAATATTGGGTCACAAAAACCGGAACCTTAGTTAAGGCACAGCTGAAAGCTCAAAGCTTGAACATAAAAGAAGGGCCACCTGGACAGCGGCCGGTTAACTCATAATCCAGATTTTATGCTCATATTAGCATTTAGTTTACTTCATAGATAGTCCCTGATCCGTTCCAATCATTCACTGAGCAACCTAACCACCATCCATGTCTTAATTTCCAGTCATCAAGAGGTAAACTTTGGTGACCTGAGATGGCCCTTTTATTAGTAAATGTGTAACCCTGGGCAGATATATATGTAGAGATGGTGGAAAAAAAATTACTTCAAATTATTATATTGACACTTTTTTTGAATCCTGCATTTATGCATGTGTGGAGCAAACCTTTTAATCATGTAGTTTTGTGTATGTTGTCCATTTTTAAGATGTTTGAAATTAAGTATATTTGCTTAATTACAAAAGGTGATTAGATTTGCAAGCATATCTTAGGTTCTTGGGAAGAATCTGTCTGTTAAATTTAAAATCTTGTCCAAGTGTTTGGGAGAATCAAAGTTATTCAAAAAATTCTAAGGAAATTAATAAGTATATAAGTTGTGTTAAGTATTTGGGAATAATTTAATCTGTTAAATGTAATAAAATGTAAATGAAAGTGGTTGCTTTATATTTTCACAAAATAGAATTGGGATAAAAAGGTCTACAAGAATATCCTGTTTGGGGTGCCTGTGTGGCTCAGTCAGTTGGGCATCTGCCTTCGGCTCAGGTCATGATCCCAGGGTTCTGGGATCAAGTCCCACATCGGGTTCCTTGCTCAGCGGGGAGCCTGCTTCTCCCTCTCCCTCTGCTACTGCTCCTGCTCACTCTCTCTCACAAATAAATAAATAAAATCTTAAAAAAAAAAAAGGGGGAATATTCTGTTTAAGCTAAATTATAAATGTGAATTAAAACACAAGTACTGTCAATGTTCCCACTGTACTTGGAAACTCCCAACAGATACTAACACAATAATTACTAATAATCTTAGTGCCAGGTTTTTTCTTCATTTTTAATGAGTCACTCATTATTCAACACTAAATTAAAAAAAATCCATTTTAGTATACAAAATGAAAGGTTATCTTAAATGTTCAGTTCTTAAAGCTTATTACTAATATAATATTTATTTTTCTTGAAGAGTAGCATTGAGAATTACTTACATATAACACATTATGAATAAAAAAATGTAAACTTTTACCTTAGAAGTATAGCTGGTATAAAAATTATTCACCTGAGAAATCATTCTTTCATTGTATGTAATATATTCTTTCAGGAGAGAAAATGAAAAATGGATGTTAGCAATATGAAAAATACATTAAGTTATGATAAGCATTCCTATTTTTCAAAAAACAATGCCTATTTATGAAAATACAGAATGGTATTTCATCAAACTCATAGTACAATCAGAATGAAATGTATGACCAGTAGAACAATAAGGACATACCTACCCTAAGTAAAATTAACTGTGCTCCAGTAAAAGTGTTAGTAACACTAGCAAAGCATTTGTGCTATTATAGTTAAGTAAGTATTGATCTTCCTCCTACTAGATTGTAAGCTCTTACAGGGCCAAAATGGATAGTCATCTTTCTATCCAAAGAACCCACTGCTTGAAAGATCGTCACTAAAACAGTCTGCTGAATTAAATTACTCTAAAAATATTTTAATGATTAAAATCAAAATATTGATTTAAGGTAGCTTGTGCAATTTAAAAGAAAAATGTTCTTAAAGAAAATCTACAGCCTTTTGTTGTTCTCTACTGAAAATGAACTCGAAAAAAAATTAAGAGCCCACAAAATGAAATGTAAAGTACACTCACATAGTGTTTTCATCGTTACCACCTGCTTGGTTCCTAACAGCTGCAAACAGAGGTTCGCCTTATCAGTCAGTAACCAGAGTCACTCAGTAAAATCCAGGCTTTACTTTTAAAATTTGATTGTAGATGGAAAGTATAAACTAGGTGGTGCTGTTTTTTCCAACTTCTGCCTAATGTATGTATTTATATTTATTATTGGTATAGAAAAAATTTTAAGATCAGTAATTTAAGACACTTTGAAATAAAATGTGTTCAAAAACATGAACTGTCCACCACTGTAAATAAAGATAAACTTCCTATTTGACTTTTTTCTCCTTTTCTTCACCCCAATTACCCTTGCTTTCCTAAGTATTAGTTAAATTATACTTCTGGAATTTAAATAAGAACTCTAAAAACTTAAACTTCTAATTAGAAAAGATTTTACTACCGTAAAAATGGAATATTCCTACATATAATTTAATTCATGATCAAAATATATTCACTCTATGTAAAAACTAAAAAAATAATTCAAGTGTCTTTAAAAAAATTGCTTACAGGAGCACAATAGTCCAGTAACTGAACAAACATAATGGATAAGAACATGATTACAACTACTCAGCACAACCTCAACTTTCACTTCCCTTTACGTTGGTCACACGTTCATTCACAGATGTACAGTGAATCATTGTGCAGAAGCAGGTAATGTTCTCGGTTAGCCACGCTCTATTTAAAATAACACATTTTCCTCAGTATAGCCAGGTCCTAAGAAACTACCTTTTCAGTGACTGTCCAAGCAAACTAGAGATCGCTTTGTTTCTTACACTGAGTTTAAGTACTCCAGGCAATACACGGCTATTCAAACACCACAAAAAAGAAGCCCCTGGGTATTTATATACTAGAATACTAGATACTGAAAGGTATCTCTTCAAATTTATGGCACCATTTAGCCGTGACTTGCTTTAGAAGATGCAATGTGCTATTTAATTATCTACAAAGGTAAAGATTTTCTTTCAAATGCATCTTGAGTTGTATTCATTATGCAGTACTAAAGTTCAGTAAAAGTTACAACTTTATTACTAAAGATGTAAAAGTGAGATTCTCAGGTGAAGAATCCAAAAGCTTGGTATTATGAGGGAAGTGGCTGTTAGCTGCCAATAGAACTTTAAAAACTAGTGCCAACTAAATCTTACAAGGAGAAATAACTTAGCTGTGGGTTGTAAAATCCAAGCAGACTATAAAACAGCTCATTTAGATGAGTGACAGATTAGATCAGATTATCTCTGACTGACAAGCTATCAGAGATAGCTGGAAAAGTAGGTATCTTTAGGAATGTGTACAGCAGTTGCCAAAACAATGGGGGGAAATTATCAGTCATGGACCTTGGGCTCAGACAGGAATGCTATTTTAAATCAGCTGCTAGAGCCTAAAACCACAGATGTTTTATTACACATTAGTGTTAAAAGTTCATTAAGTTTACCTAAGTTAAAGAGTTAACAGTAGTTCAGTAAAGGATTTGGCTATTTAAAGTAAGTACCAAATTCTTCTGTTGTTGCTGTTGTTTTTTTCGACTCTTTATAATGCAAAAATCGCACTCCCAACATATTTGTCTTTCTGAGTTAATAACTTTCATTCATCTGGTTCAAATAGAATGTCAGCTGGTATTATTTATATTACATTTTACCTATAGTCCACACATGGGTTCTACAAGGAAGTATTTCCAAGATTACATTAACCATAACCTTACTTCAACTCTGACAGTCAAAATTCTGGTTTCTCATTAAAGTGAATTATGTAGTTTACTTCTAATCCTTAACTTAACCCCCAAAGGTTTATTTATCTCCCACTATGTTCCAAAGTGAATCTGAGGTGAGTTACTAAGTAAATCTACACAGATAAACTTTAAATTATAAAGGAGAGATTCAAATAAAGTTTACCAACAAAAATGATTACCCCAAAATTATTTTATTCTATAATAAAATATAACGTTCCCTTTGGGAGAAAGATGACAAAAAAATTTATATATTTCATGAGGGGTACAGGAAAAGGTATGGCCGATTCTTCCAACTGTGTAAATGATGTCATTCTAACTGCAATCAGGCTATTACATAATAAGACTCTAGACAAAGTCTTCCTTTAATTATAATTTAAAAACATGTGAATTTTATTGTAAGCAAAAGAAATGTTTCTTCAAAGACCTAAATCACCTATGTCTAATATCACCTAATAGAACAGGGTCTCATTTCATTTATTATTAGCAGATGTCACCTCCTGCAAACTCTACCTGCATGGAGACTACCTGGTATTTATTGCTTTCTGGGATGCCAACCTCCACTCAGAGTTTCTTTAGAAATTAAAAAGGAGAAGCAAGAAACTTTTGCTTTATATTTCTTTTCTATGTATTAGTTCTTTTTGTTTAGACTGGGATATCACATACTTATGTAACAAGATGGTATAAATTTAAAAATAAAGATAACCGTTAAAGATAAAATTATTCTATCACTATTTCTTTAAATCATAAATTTAAAAGCACTGTTTTTGAAAGGTAAAAATGCAAATATTCGACCTCACATACAGACTACAGTTCAATATACTTCACGTACAAACATGCAGTTTCAATTATTTATATACAAGTTTTATTTAAAGAAAAGCAAAACACAAAACCACAGCATTTCAATCAAGGAACTTAGGAAAATCCCAAGTGCTTTCATGGTTCTTCAGTTACCACTCAAATAATATACCTTTTAAGCCAGAGTTAAAATAAAGAAAGAAATTCAGTAAGCAGACTGAACTGCTTCAAAACACTACTCTGTCTTCCTGTGTTCTTTCCCACCAAAGTGTGCTGTTTAAAGTTCCACAACTGCTATCTTCTTCCTCTTGTTCTTTAGTGAGCTCTACAAAAACCTAAATGAAAGTAAATAAATGAATACAGTATTCTGTATTGTAATTATCTCAAATAATTTTTAATTAAATAAAAAACACTGTAAAGCTACATCTACATACATTAACCATTCAACTATCAAGAGATATGTTGGCATTAATATTAAACAGAATAACCTCCTTTAATCACATACAAAGTTGAATGCTATAAGGATTAATAGATTTTTTGATAAATATATAAGTAGCAGTCAAAAAAATAATTTATAAATATTTAGCAATGGAACTTCAGATATATGAAATAACATCAAAAACACCCAATACTGAGTTTTTCAAAATAAGCAGATGGAGAGCCTAAAGTTGTTTAAGATCATACAAAGTTTAGGCATATTGTATAACAATTTGTCTCTGGTTCATAAACACCCTCTCTCTCCAGTATAAATCTAAATAATTAGGGGCACCTGGGTGGCTCAGTCGGTTAAGTTTCCAGCTCCTGGTTTCAGCGCAGGTCTTGATCTCAGTGTGGTGAGATCAGCCAAGCCCCGTGTGGCTCCGCTCTCAGGGGGGAGTCTCCTTCCCCTCCCCCTCTTCACCTCCCCTCACTTGCACACATTTTCTCTCTCTCAAATAAATCTTTAAAAATAAATAAATAAATCTAAACAATTAGATATCACTTTCTTCTATAAAAAAACTTTTAAAAATTTAACTTTATATACCTGTTCCAATGTTGCTTGAGAAAAGCTATATTCTTCAATGGCAAAAGTATGTTTAGCTATTAAAATACGAAAACAATATTTTACTTATTAATATTTCTAAAGAATAAAAATGGCAGTAACTACTAAATGGCTAACAACCTGTTTAAAAAAAAATTCTGTAATCAACTCATTTAAATCTGAAGCTGCCAAAACATGTTACTTTCTTCTGTCTTTGTTCCCTGAGGCACCCTATCTGCAGCCTTACTTGCCTCACCTTGCCCTTTCCAAGCATCTCCTGTTTGCCCTCCGTCTTCCTTACTATGCCTTTTCTCATGACTTCTTTGGCTCCCTGCTCCCTATCTTCCCTTCCCCAATTTCCATTACAGCCTGTTTTGAATTTCTTGAACTAGATTCTGGATATAGTTCTTATGGCCATATACTTTTTTTATGTTTATTTCAGATCCTTTTGCAATCTAACATCAAATTTTCTGGCTTCCTATTCATTCCTGTAGTGAAATTCTCCCCAAGCTTTATTAGGTTGTTTCATAGTTTATAAACTCCATAAAACAACTTGTGTATGAATACCTGTTCCATCCAGGAGCTCACCTCTTATGACTTACCACCAGAGTATCTTTATCCTACCAACCATTTATTTTAAAAAATGTCAAGTTTCAATAAGCTTCTTTAAGCTTTTAGGAATGTCCACATCCCTACACTGTGGATTTACCTCTCCTCTCTTCTGCTGCCACTGAAGTCTTGCTACCATTGTTACTTCTAGGGCCTGAAACCAAGTGAGGGTTCTGGAAACTCAATGCTCTCACTTCTGAAATGAACCACTGAGTGCTAATTAAACTGAACTTTCTTACAGATGCAATGTGAAAAACCACGGTGATGTCAACTAAAATAGTAAAAGATTTACACTATAATATAGCTGACCTACTAAACCTCTACCTCTAGTGTTAGTATTTAACCTGTCTTAAATTAATAAAAGGTTATCTTTTTATTTACAATAGCTTCCACAATAAATAGTCCCAATTTCTAAACTTTAAAATAAAATTCTTTTATAAATTGAAAGCTACCTTACAATGTTTTTCAAATCTTACCTTCTTCCAGCTTAGAAAAAGATTGTGAAAGGGATGGGACATCTTCCTTAGGAATCTTATAAGCCAAAATAGAAGAAAAACTGGAAACAAATAAAATATAGAAAAATTTAAGAATGACTACTAATGTGTTCTAAAGCTAAAGTTCAAACTTTATTTAAAGTTCAAAATTAAACTCTTTTGATACATATTTAGAAAAAAATTGTTTTAAATCTTAAAATATTTCCATGCAAAATAACTCTCTCATTACTACTGATATGAGAACTTTTAAAAGTTTAAATACTATTGAATATTGCAAGATCTAACACTAAGTTAGATATAAAACTCCAGTTACCAGACTATGTTATTAGTCCAATACTGGTGATATTAACAGACCTTTTTTTTCTAATCCTTAATGCAGTAAACAATTTTTACGATTATTGCTCTACAAAAAAATATAACAATTATTAAAATCTTTACCTCTCCTGACGGCTTGCATTTGGGAAAATATACTGAATTTCTCTTTGAAGGCGGTCTACCTCTAGGTTTTCTATCCACTCCTTTAACTTTATTTCCAAAAAGTAGCCTTTTCCAAATTTACTCTTCAGGTGCTGGACAGTCCCAATACATCTGTAGTGATTTTTAAAAGAAAGCTCAGACATAAAATGACTTGACAGCTTCAAAGAATGATTTCTCAAAGGATGATTTAAATTCAATGTTTGATGGGATACTTTTAAATGTACAGAGAAGTTGCAAATATAGTACAGAGAGACTCCACATACCCCTCACCCGGTTTTAGTTTCCCTAATATTATGATCTTATATAACCATGGCACATTTGTCAAAATTAAGAAACCAACACTGGTATATTACTATTAACTTCATATCTGACTTTATTTGGATTTCACCGGTTTTTCACTAATGTCCTTTTTCTGTTCCAGGATCTATCCAGGATACACACTGCACTTAGTCCCCATGGGTCTCTGATAGTTTCTTACTCTTTCCTTCCTTTTTTACCTTTGACAGTTTTAGGAATTGGTCAAGTGTTCTGGCAGAATGTCTCTCAATTTGGAGTAGTCTGACAGTTTTCTCATTAGACTGGGGTTAGGGGTTTTGGAGGAAATGCCACGGAGCTGAAGTACCTTTCCTATGACAACCTATCAGGGGTACGTGATAGCCACATAACGCTGCTCTTCAGTGAAGTTACTATCGCCTTCTTTCCATACATTAGAAGGGACTGGCTAAATTCAGACTACACTTAGGAGGTGGAGAATTACCCAACCCTCCCAGAGGGAGCAGTATCTACATATACTGTTTGGAATCTTACCATAAGGAAAATTTGCTCTCCTCCCACCTTTATTTTATTTATTCCACCATTTATTTATAAGAGTATGAACTTGAATTACAAATGTATTTATTTTGTACTTTGGATTACAACCCAATACAATGCCTAGCAATTTTTTAAAATAACAAATATCATGCATGAAAAACAATATTCCAAGATGTTGAACCATTAAGCTAATTACAAATGCAAATTAGCTAGCCATTTCTTAGAAATAAACTAACATATTTCCAAGTAATTCTACAGAAAGCTAATAGTCAAAAACTCAAGTAAGGACACTTTTTTTGGTATTTTAATTTATTATTGTAAGTTTCTGAAATGATTATTCAACCTCTCCTCCCAACGGCATGCCTTTCAGACATTTACCTTAACTGCCCAGATACCATGACGGCTACCCGATCACAGACAGCTTCTGCTTCCTCCATATAATGAGTGGTCAGAATAGCAGCCCGCTTTTTGTTTTTAAATGCAGTTCGAATTGCTCGCCTATAATACATATGTAAAATAAACAGAGTAAAGCATCCGAATATTAATGAAAATCTAACTATTTGGTTAATTAAAATTTATCAATATCTATTGCTATAGTTATTACATACTGCCTAACTATGATTCTTCTAACTTCTTTTCCTCTATTTTTGAAAGTCTGTCAAATAAACAGAAATTCCATGACTTCAAATGCTTCTATGCATTAAAAAATAAATTATAAAATTTGACACTTTTTCATGTTGTAACTAAAATAGCCATAAAATCATACAGAAAACTTAATATGCTTCTACTCCACACCTCACATTTTATAGACATGGAAATGTAGGCTCAAAGAGTTGGTCAATTAACTAGCACCATGAATTCCTAGGCGTTCCAACATAAACTCAAGCCAATGTTATGAGAATTAGAATTTATGTTAAATGACTAGGAAAAAAATCTTTTAAAAGCTATTCAGGGCTCCTGGGTGGCTCAGTTGGTTAAGCGACTGCCCTCGGCTCAGGTCATGATCCCGGAGTCCTGGGATCGAGTCCCGCATCGGGCTCCCTGCTCAGCGGGGAGCCTGCTTCTCCCTCTGACCCTCTCCCCTCTCATGCTGTTTCTCTCTTGCTTGCTCTCTAATAAATAAATAAATAAAATCTTTAAAAAAAAAAAAGCTATTCGGAGAGCAGTACTCTTTATCTTAATAATTACTCATATATTCATTTTTATTCTGGAATAAATAAAATATTATTAATATTTCATGAAAGTATAAAGTATGATAAAGTTTAAAAGTTTATGGCAGGGGTGCCTGGGTGGCTCAGTCGGTTAAGCATCTGCCTTCTACTCAGGTATGATCCCAGGGTCCTGGGATCAAGCCCCTCGTCAGGCTCTCTGCTCAGCAGGAAGCCTGCTTCTCCTTCTCCCACTCCCCCTGCTTCTGTTCCCTCTCTTGCTGTCTCTCTCTCTCTCTCAAATAAATAAAATCTTAAAAATAAATAAAATAAAATTTTGTGAGATTCTCTAGATATCAATTAACAGTAATTAATTTTTAATTACTATTTTGTCATTTGTGTAAGATTTTAAATCAATATATATAACTAATATAAATCCATTAGTGATAATAAAACAAACTATTCTTTTACTCTAAAGTATGAAATAGTATAACGTGTCTCAAGTATCTTTAATGTCATACTCACCACATGTGCTGTTTGGCTTTAGGATCCATACCTGTAGATGGTTCATCTAGCAGGGTAATGTGAGGATTCCCCAGCATACTCAGGGCAAAACACAACTAGTTAGAAAGAAAATGTGGAGGGGACTAATAAGGCTTTGCATAAGAAATTTTATGAAGACAGTATCAGGCTCTAAACTATGAATAAGACATACATATATCTGTTAATAAAAGTACCTTTCGCTTGATTCCTGCAGGTAGTTTCTTTATAGTTTTCTGCAGATGTTCTTTTAAATCAAGTGCATTTGTTATCCTGCAAAATAGGTAATACAAAATGATTGTATTATCACTCACTGTGATCATTCACAGTTTTTTTCTAGAACACTCAGTTGGAACTTATTATATAATTAGACCTCCAATTTACATCATCTTAAATCACTATCTTAATAAAAAGATTCACTTTACGTTTGACATTTATAGTATGTTCATCCTGTAGTTAAAAATAGAAAAATTACCTTTTTATTTTTATAACTATCATTATTCTGTAAAGAATATATGAAAAATAATGACCATTTTCTATTAAAAGTATGATCACAAAAAATGCTTTTAAAAATTAAACTTTTAAAATGTGAAATGTCAACATTCTCTGGGAATAAAAAGCTTTTAATTTTACCGATTTATGACTTCTTTCATGTCACCTGAGCTCATTCCTTTCACAGCTCCATAAATTTCAAAATGTTCCCGCAATGTAATATCTGGCCACAGTGGGTTTATCTGAGGACAGTACCCCATATACTTAATGGAATCATCATCTTCAGTTGGTTCTGAAGAATAATCTCCAAGAAATACCTACAGAAATACAAACCAATTTTAAATAACTTTTGGCTTAATTTACATTGTGAAGAAGTGGTAAGTGAATTAATTCAAACTCTTTCCTAGAACCAGGGTAATAGTAAGTCAAATTTTTATTCCTTTTGATGAAGAAAGGACATACATAGCTAAGTCAGAGTTCAGTGACATGGCCCAAAAGGGCGATCAGGAATGCAAGTTGACTGAAAAGGCAAACTCCAATTTTAACTAGGATGATCAAAGGACCTCACTGGAAGGGGATATTGGTGCCATGGACGTAAAGCAAATTTAATCATTTGGATTTCTACAGGGTAAGGAATACCCTATAAAAGGAACAGTTAAGGCAAAAACCCAGAGAAGAGTGTGCCTGGCATTTTCCAGGAAGTCAATGGGTCAGTGTGGTTGGTGTAAAGTAAGAAAGGGGGAGAGCAGCAGAAGACAGGATCAGAGCAGTTTTGTGAAGTTTCCACAAAGTGGTGATATGCTTACAATCAAAGGCTAATTAATGGCAGGGTCAATATTAGCTCCTACATCTCCTGAAGTTAATAAGATTGTCTTCTACAGATCAGGTTGGCAGCAGATCTGTCCACTGAAACCTGGCAGGCCAGTCAGAAAGGAGTGGAAGGAAATATTCAATGTGCTGAATGGGAAAAATATACAGCCAAGAACTGTTTATCCAGGTTGTTATTCAGAATAGAAGGACAGATAAAGAGTCTCCCAGACAGGGGCACCGGAATGGCTCAGTTGGTTGAGCGCCTGACTCTTGCTTTTGGCTCAGGTCATGATCTCATGGGTCATGGGATCAAGCCCTGAATCGGGCCCCACGTGCAGTGGGAAGTATGCTTGGTGGTTCTCTCCCTTTACCCCTCCCCCACTCTCTCTCAATAAATAAATCTTTTTTTTTTACAAAGGAGTTTCCCAGACAAACAAAAACTACTTTTATTAGTTCATGACCACTAAACTAGCCCTGCAAGAAATTTTAAGGTGGACTCTTTGAGTGGAGGAAAAAAAAAAAAAGAGCAAAAGCAACAAAGACTAGAAAGGACCACAGAACATCACCAGAAACACCAATTTTACAGGTAACACAATAGCACTAAATTCTTATCTTTCAGAAATCACTATGAAGGTAAACAGACTAAATGCTTCAATTGTAAGACAAAGGGTATCAGAATGGATTATTCTTAATTTGGTTTGGCTACACATTTCTCTGTGGAAGTTGATTATCTACAACTCAAATTCATTACAAGGAGTGAACCCATGAAAATATGAGTATTAAGAGCTTACTGAAAGGTGTCAATAAAGCTGAAGGTTCACACACACACAAAAAAAACAAGATCCATCTATATGCTGCCTACAAGAGACTCATTTTAGACCTAAAGCCGGAGTAGACACACTTCCGTGAGACAAACTGGATTTTATTTTTTTTTTAAAGATTTTATTTATTTATTTGACAGAGAGAGAGATAGCGAGAGCAGGAATACAAGCAGGGGGTGTGGGAGAGGGAGAATCAGGCTTCCTGCTGAGCAGGGAGCCCGATGCGGGGCTCGATCCCAGGACCCTGGGATCATGACCTGAGCCGAAGGCAGACGCTTAACAACTGAGCCACCCAGGCACCCCAGACAAACTAGATTTTAAAACAAAGACTATAAAAAGAGATGAAGAAGGGCATTATATCATAATTAAGGGGTCTATCCATCAAGAAGATCTAACAATTGTAAATATTTATGCCCCCAACTTGGGAGCAACCAAATACACAATTCAATTAATAATAAATATAAAGAAACTCATTGATAATAATACAATAAGAGCAGGGCACTTTAACACCCCACTTACAGCAACAGACAGATCACGTAAGCAGAAAATCAATAAGGAAACAATGGCTTTCAGTGATACACTGGACCAGATGGACTTAACAGATATATTCAGAACATTCCATCCATCCTAAAGCAGAAGAATACACATTCTTTTTGAGTACACATGGAACATTCTCCAGAACAGATCACATACTGGGTCACAAATCAACCCTCAACAAGTGCAAAAAGACTGAGATCATACCATGCCTATTTTTAGACCACGATGCTATGAAACTTGAAGTCAACCACAAGAAAAAATTTGGAAAGACCACAAATACATGGAGGTTGAAGAACATCCTACTAAAGAATGAATGGGTTAACCAGGAAATTAAAGAAGAAAAAAAAAATACATGGAAGCAAATGAAAATGAAAAAGGACAGTCCAAAACCTTTGGGATGCAGCAAAGGCAGTTCCAGGAGAGAAGTATATTGCAATACAGGTCCACCTCAAGAAGCAAGAAAAGTCTTAAATATACAACCTAACTTTACGCTTAAAGGAGCTAGAAAAGGAACAGCAAATAAAGCCTAAAGCCAGCAAAAGGTAAATAATAAAGATTAGAACATAAACAAATAGTATAGAAACAAAGAAACAAAAAAACCAGTAGAATAGGTTAACAAAACTAAGCTGGTTTTTCAAAAGAATTAATAAAATTGATAAACCTCTAGCCAGGCTTATCAAAAAGAAAAGAGAAAGGACCCAAACAGATAAAATCATGAATGAAAGAGGAGAGATCACAACCAACACCACAGAAATACAAACAATTATAAGACAATCCTATGAAAAATTATATGCCAACAAACTGGGCAACCTGGAAGAAATGGACAAATTCCTAGATACCTACAAACTAACAAAGCCAAAACTGAAACAGTAAGAAATAAAAATTTTGAACAGACCCAAAACCAGCAAAGAAACTGAATCAGTAATCAAAAATCTCTGGATGGATTCCCAAACATTTTAAGAAGAGTTAATATCTATTCTCCTCAAACTTTCCAAAAAATAGAAATGGAAGGAAAACTTCCAAACTCATTCTATGAAATCAGCATTACCTTGATTCCAAAACCAAAGACCCCACTAAAAAGAAGAATTGCAGGCCAATATCCCTCATGAACATGGATGCAAAAATTCTCAATAAAATACTAGTGAATCGAATTCAACAGTACATTAAAAGAATTATTCACCACGATCAAGTGGGATTTATTCCTGGGCCACAGGGGTGGTTGAACATTTGCAAATCAATCAACATGATACACCACATTATAAGAACCATATGATCCTGTCAAATGCAGAAAAAGCATTTGACAAAATACAGATCTTTTCTTGATAAAAACCCTCAAAAATAAGGGATAGATGGAACATACCTCAATATGGCCTTCGTATAAAGGCCACATACAAAAGACCCACAGGTCATCCTCGATGGGAAAACTGAGAGCCTTTCCCCTACAGGCAGGAACAAGACAAGAATGTCCACTCTCACCATTACTATTTAACAGAAGTCTTACCTCAGCAATCAGACAACAAAGAGAAATCAAAGGCATCCAAATTGGCAAGGAAGAATTCAAACTTTCACTATTTACAGATGACATGACACTCTATGTAGAAAACCTGAAAGACTCCACCAAAACATTGCTACTAGAACTCATACATGAATTCAGCAAAGTTGCAGGATCTAAAATCAATGTGCAGACATCTGTTGCATTTCTATATACCAGTAACAAAGCAGCAGAAAAGGAAATCAAGGAATCAATCCCATTTGCAACTGCACCAAAAACAGTAAGATACATAGGAATACACCTAACTAAAGAGGTAAAAGACCTGTACTCTGAAAACCATGGAAGATGCTCAACATCACTCATCACTCACCATCAGGGAAATACAAATCAAAACCACAACGAGATGCCACCTCTCACCTGTCAGAACGGCTAAAATTAACAACACAAGAAACAACAGGTGTTGGCAAGGATGCCAAGAAAGAGGAACCCTCTTGCACTGTTGGTGGGAATGCAAACTGGTGCAGCCACTCTGGAGAACAGTTTGGAGGTTCCCCAAAAAGTAAAAAACAGAACTACACTGTAATCCAGCAATTGTACTACTAAGTATTTAGCCAAAGGATACAAAAATAGATTAGAAGGGGTACATGCACCCTGATGTTTACAGCGGCATTAACAATAGCCAAACTATGGAGAGAGTCCAAATGTCCATCAACTGATGAATGGATAAAGATGTGGTGTCTACATATACACACACACACACACACACACACACACAAACACACAGAGGTATATTACTCAACCACCAAAAAGAATGAAATCTTGTCATTAGCAATGAGTGGATGGAGCTAGAGTCTTCTAAGTGAAATAAGTCTGTCAAAGAAAGAGTATTTACTGTATGATCTCATTCATATGTGGAATTCAGGAAAGAAAGCAAACGAACATATGGGAAGGGGGAAAAGAAAAAAAAGAGACAAGGAAACAAGCTATAAGCGACTCTTAATGATAGAGAACAAACTGTGGGTTGATGGAACGAAGTGGGTGGGGGATGGGCTAGATGGGTGATGGGTATTAAAGAGGGCACTGGTGAGGAGCACGGGGTATTGTACGTATGTGATGAATCACCGAATTCTACTCCAGAAACCAATACTGCACTCTATGTTAACTAACAACATTTAAATAAAAGAAAAAAAAAAAGATTGTCTTCCATTAAGTAGGAGGCAAATCACCCATGCATATAATAATTATAAAAGCAGAAATACTGTCTATGTATGCGTCTGCATGTGTGAAAATTTTATTGTGTACATTATTTTCAAAGATAACCAAAAAGATAACTTGATTAAGCTATACTAAAAAATTAATACTAAAAACATAAAATCCTAATCTACCATTATGAAATTTATTTTAACTAAAAATGTAAATCATAGCATCTCCCACACCCTTATATATCATACCTGGCCTGAAGTTGGTTCAATATCACCAACCAGAATATTGATAATTGTGCTTTTGCCTGCACCATTTGGACCCAGTAGCCCCAAGATCTCTCCTAAAGAAATTGAAAGAAAAATTATCATATGTAAATCAAACTAAAAATGGAAATACTCTTCTGGAAAAATTATTTAAGAAAAAACAAATACCAGCCTTTTTTCACACAGAAAGAGACATATTTAGTTGCCACTTTCTTTACTTTTCTTGTAAGAAGAAAATCTTTCTTGTCATCATATTCTTTATGCAAATTGCTGACCATAATGGCTGGCTTCTAATAAGGGAAATATGATTTAAAAAGAGAATAATAAATCAGATATACCTATCATGAAATGACAGGTTGCCCATAATTCATGTCCATATATCATAAGAACTATATTCACTAATAAGTATTATGTAAATATCCATTTATGACTGAAATAATGGCTTATTCAGAAGTAGACAAATATTTTTTCAAAGACTTTTTTTCATATTGATTCATATGAAAAGAAAAGTACTTTTCAGATTAATTCCTATATATGAGGAATTGATCACTTCACATTTAATAAGACTTACGATAAAGACTAAATTACCTCCTCACAACACTGGCAACTCATTAGCTCTTTGACCTTTAGCCTTTCAGCTTTGACATCTTCATCTTCATCCTCATTGTTTGGTGGTTCTGGATACTTCCTATTTTTGGACTTTGTTGAAAGAGTCCTAAATATATAAAGATAATAGATTTTCAAATAACTAACGGAGTTAAGAAATTCAAGCACTCCATGGAGAAAAGACCGAAAAAATACACCAATCTGAGATCTGTGATCTTATTTCTGAAAGGTGGAATTACAGAGCTATTTTTCACTCATGGATCCATTTGATGATGTTATCAGAATTCATTCATTTTTCAACATCTTATATGACTGCTATGTGTCATGCACTATTTCACAAAAAGATTTTAAAAAGCACGTATCCATCCCTCAAAGAATTTACAGTCTGGGTATAAATGACATGTCCCAGGCAGAGTGGATATAGAGGGCTGAACTCAGAACTCACAGGAACACTAGAAAAGTAAGCAGAGAAAAAAGTGCTTTGAAAGGAAATTTTGAAGTGTAAGAGAGGTAGAGGTAAAGTAGGAGTTGACATTATGGACAACAAAGGAACAAGAGAAAAGTATAAATAAGAAGGAAGACGTCAATCATACTAAAGTAGCAGATAGGTGAATAAGCAAATCCTACTTCATGAGACACAGAGGAAATCATTAGTCACCTTAATGAAAATAGCATCAGCAGAGAAGCAAGTGCAGAGACCAAACTGCAGGGACGTAAGGAGTGACTGGGAGGTGAGGAACTGGGAGTCGAAGCTTCTTGGTTATGAAATAAAAGATATATGGGACAAGAGCTAGAGAGATTCAAGTTTAAATGAGATTTAGGAGTTCTGATGTCTATTAGTTTGTTTTACACAAACTCCCTCCCCAGAGAAAAATACCCTATTTAGATTCAAAAGGGAAAGGTACAGAAAGAGAAAATAAAATTGACAGAGCAACATCCTTAAATACATAGAATAAATGAAGACATGGATAAAAGAATAAATGAAGACATGGATAACTCCCTCTGGGACTAGGAAAAGGCAAAATGATGAAAGAGGTGGATAAATGTGTAAAAATTTCTAATTAAGTCCTTTTGTTTTCAGAGATGGCAAGATCATCTACTGAGAAGTAGAAAACGAGGTGAGGTGAACTGGAGAATTTGAGGAATACAAATAAGGCTTGGGATAACTATCGAAAAGAGACAGGAAGAAAATGGGGTAACAAGTGTTAAAACAAAGCTGAGTTTATACAGGATAAATATGTGGTATCAACAAACTGCACTTCTATGTTAATTTTCTCCAGCCTGTAATTAGACTTACCAAAAATTATGATTTTTAGCAGACAGGTCAAAGAAATACAGAAGTTGAATAGAGGGTGCTGAAAGAGGGTGAAAGTGATGAATCACGTGAGTGAAGCTGAATAGAGAAAAGGTGAAAACAGTGATGAGTGGATACTATGAAGAACAGAAAAAACTCAGGGGTAGAAACTACAGCAGAAAAGTCCAAAAAGACTAATAAAATAAGAAAGTTGGAAAGATGAAGTGTTACTGGTAGTACAGGACACAGATGAAGTGAAGAGCAGTGATGGCAGGGCTCTGACCCAAATCAACATGTGAGACACAAAGGACAGAGAAGTCGTGAGTGCAGAGAAAATCAGAAACTGAGGAGTAGGTGTTAGAAAGGTTATCTCTGGATGCTGATTCTCCCCCAAGATGACAGCAGGAGAAAGAAGGAGAGCCAGATGCTAAGTCCTCAGTGGACATGGGGAGAATCCAATGGTTAATAAGTATGTTCACAGCAGCATTATTCATAATGGCCAAAGAACAGAAACAACTCAAATGTCCATCAACTGATGAAAAGATAAGTCGTGTGGTATTTCCATGCAATGTAATATTACTAAGAGAAGAAAAAAGTAATGAAGTATTGCTATATCATGAACCTTCAAAACATTATGGTGAGTAAAAGAAGCCAGACACAAAAAGACTATATATTGTAAAGTTCCATTTATATAAATGTTCAGAACTGGCAGATCTATAGCAACTACATTAGTAGCTTAGCAGTTATACAGGGCTGGGGATATGCGTGAGAAGGCCATGGATGACTGCAAGGTTTTTTTGAGAGTGAAGGAAATTACCTAAAACTAGATTATATACTATGTAAATTTACTAAAAAACATTAAAACTTTTTAAAAAATTAACTGACCTGAAAAAAGGATCCTTTCTTATTGACCTGCCTCCATATTTTTTCTCATAGTACTGTAAGAGGAAAATCCAGAGGACACACTGCAGGTAAGGCTACAAGAAGAACACATAAGAGCTCATGACTCAGACGTTTTTCCCCTATATCAACAGAACAAAGACCACATACACCAGCTTCCTTACCATCACCAAAATAATCATTATTTTCTTCACATGTCATATGAGTTAAGAATTTTAATGGAAACCAACGTAGATTTTTAGTAAAATAATCCTTCACATATTTTTCTACCTCTGTAAAGTTCATTGTTGTCAGCTTCATAAAATATAATCAAAGGAAAAAAAAGTTGTTTTTGTTTCTAAGGAACCCAGAATTATAATTAAATAGAATAACATAAGAGAGTCAAATATATTAAAATGGACATATTCACTAAATGTATTACCATCAAAATGCATATTGGATGGCACTAACACACTTGATTTTTTGAGGCACCTTCATTCTTATGCAACATGGTAAAAACTAAAAAGAGAGTTAAAATCATACAACCAAACTGCTCTTAAGGTAGCATGCTAATGCCAACATCTTTGTTATTTCTTACCGATATAACAGCCACCAAAAGCCTATCCCATGGATTATAGGTGTCCTCATTTTTTCGAATATTCTTCCAAGTAATCTAAGAGAAAAATTTTTGAAAATTGATATGCTGCTGTGGTAAGATGACACAATGGTATTTGGTCTTTGATGCAGTTCCCAGGACATAGCTCCTAGCTTCTAAACACCCTTGGAGAGCGACAGAGGTGACAGGAGCATCTTTTGTTATTTAAAATAGGCCCAATCAACCAAAACAGTTTATGCTACAGAGGAGATGGATATGACGGGTAGAGGGACGGACGGACAGACAGAGGACAGGGACAAACCAAGTGATTAATTAGAAGATGGGAACTTCCAGCATCATCCAAAAGGGAGAGGGCCTTGAAGACTAATTATCTCGTGCCTCCGTAATGGAACCTCCATAAAATCCTCTGTAAACACAGGGTTTGGAGAGTTTCCAGGATGGTGACCGCATACACATGCTGGGAGAGTGGCACGCTCAAAACTCCATGGGGACAAAAGCTCCAGTACTTTGGACCATTCTGGACTTTGCCTTTCCTATCTCTTAATCTACTTATTTGCATATCCAATATAATAAACTGGTAAAAGTACATAAAGTGTTTCCCTAAATTCCATAAGCCATTATAACAAATTATTGAACCTGTCAAGGGGTCATGGGAACCCTGGATTTGTAGCCACACCAGACACAAGCAGGGGTTACCTGCGGATCCACTACTTGGATATGGCATCTGAAATGGAGGGAGGGGGGGTGATCTTGTGGGACTGAGCGCTTACCCCTGATAACCCTGAAGGTAGCCCTGAGTCTGCATTAACTCCAGGTAGTTAAATGTCAGAATTGCTTTATGTGAGGGAAAAACCCACACATTTGATGTCAGAAGTGTTGTAAGTAGTAGTTTTCTTTTTTTGAGTAGTTTTCTCATAGCTGCAATGTGTAGCAATATTTAGATTAAAATGCATTTTGTTCAGCAAACATGTATTCTCTATACATAAGATAGCTATTAATACTAATAGCTTGATTTCTACTTAGATTAAGATCTTCCCCACACCAAAATATTTCTATCTGGAGATGTATAAATTAAATATATTAAACCGAAGCAAAAAAGAAAGTGGGGGGGAAGGGAGGGTCAGTGTGTAGAATTAAGTCAGTAATCATTCTAAATCAGTAATTCATTTAATTTTTTTCTAATCACATGCAAATATTTTCAATTATCCAGGCTTCATTAAACTAACATTTTATTTTTTCTTTGAAAAAAAGTCTCTTACACTTTATTTTCTCTTATCCCTTTATAGCACAATACATTATTTAATCCCTGAAAAATTCCCCCAAAACAGATACTGACTGAAGTCAGATCATACTTGGAATTTCTGTACATCCTTTTGGGAATCAAAGAACAGGTAACGGACATACTCCTCCTTTGAGATTTTACAGCTTAAAGACATGCATGAAAAGATTTCACAGTAATCTTAAACTACTGCTTAATAATTCAAATCAAGTAAATAGGAGCTAAGCTAATATTAACTATATTCAGTATAAGAACTAAGATCTCGGGGCACCTGTGTGGCTCAGTCAGTTAAGCGTCTGCCTTCAGCTCAGGTCATGATCTCAGGGTCCTGGGATCGAACCCCACATCGGGCTCCCTGCTCAGCAGGGAGCATGCTTCACCCTCTACCCCCTGCTCGTGCTCTTTCTCTCACTATCTCTCTCTCTCTCAAATAAATAAAATCTTTAAAAAAAAAAAGAACTAAGATCTCAAAGATTGACAGTATTTATGCTTTACAAATATTAAAACATATAAAAGACCTACCTTTATGAAACAAATCAGACAACCTAGAAGTGGATAAATTGGAATGACTATGGAAAAGGTATAATGAAGAACAGCCGTAACTGTGTATCCCATAAAGAACGTTATTTCAGTGATTGCAATGCAAGCCAACGCTGTCTAAAGGAAAAAAACGAGAAAACAAGTAAAAAAGTATTTAGCAATTTCATACAATCTCACTTGTAAGTTTTGCCTCGGCATTTATCATGTTTTCAATCCTCTAATGAAACATGGAACCACAGATGATACTTAGCCGGGAAGCACCAGGCTCGCTGTTTTGCCGCCGGCATCCTTGCCATGTAATTCTTAAATGCCTTCAGTACCAGCCCTTTGTGGAATGGATGATGCAGAAGACAAATACACACACAAAAAAAGCTGCCTGCCATCAACCTAAGTTCTGTACTTAGAAAAGACACCATAACATTTTGAACATAATCTTGAAAGAGTTCATGACTTTCAAGTAAGCTACTATGAAAAGTTGGGGTGAAATAATACAAAACATGACTTACCACAGAATAGATAAATGACCAAAACTCTTTGGTATTCAAAATTTTTTTAAAAGTGAAGGAGGTAACATAGGTAAACAGAATGACTGATGGAACATAACCAATAAGGCAAAAAACCTATAAAACAGAAATGTGTATTTTTATGTAAAAATATGAATAGCTAGCAGTATATATGATATAAAACACCAGTTGTATCAAAATATTAAGGAATGATTATTCTTCAAATTTTATTGCTCAACCAATCGCTCCAAAAACTGAAATTGTAGTTACTTGAGGAATTACCATGCACATTCTTCCTAAATCAGTAAAACTCACACTTTTAACTACCTGTTAACACAATCCTGAATAAGTAATTTACACTGAACACTATATGTAGTTCTTTTTTATGTCAGTTGAAATGCTGTCTCTAATCATGTTATAAAAACAAGTATACTAGCTGGTTACAACTTTATCCTTCTCAATCAACTATTAGCTACCATTTCAATATACAGCATTCAATGCATTTGGTAAATATTTAAGAAAAACTTATTAATTTATAAAGCAGAAATTTATATGTAAAGTCAGTATTATCTCTTGCAAAATGATAAAATTACTTTCAGTAACCCCAACCTCACCTAGTTCTATTTTCCCTTTTTCCTAATATAAATCATTCACATGAAGGGTCTAGTATCAGTCATATACATGTGAACACGAATGTAAGCCATACTCTTCCTTAGTATTTTAAGGGACATTTTAAAGTATGGAATAAAAGCGCTTCTTTGTGAAATTATTTTCAGACATAGAGACAAGGAAGACATTTTAAGGAAGGACTGTTTAATCATTCCTGATTACACACAAGTATGCAGTCTACAGAAAAGACCACCTCAGTCTCAAGCAATTATTTCATAATGATAGCTAGTTGTTGTTTTTTAAAAAACCACTTACAGTAACATAAATTGCATTATCAGTATCATATACAATAATTAAAATAGATACTGGTTCTACTTTTTATAAAAAAATTTATATTCACATTACTTGATGAACCACTTGTCAGGTTTATAAATACTTAGTTTTTTAAAATAACATTTCATTTATAAATAGCATGAGTGCAAGTAATGTTAACTTACCACAGAAAGGAACTTTATAGCATAAAAATATAATCCATAATGAAATGCAAATAAACTTCCTAGCATCAAAATAAGAACAAGAAAAAATAAGGGGATATCAACAATAGCTTGTCCAATCCAATATGCAGATGGCAAAAGCCCTGAAAGTTTAAGTTGGGTATAAGCCTTGATCTACAAAACAAAAAGAGGGAGGAGGGAAACTGATTATAATTGTAAACATTTTACACACAAAAAACTCTAGCAAATTATTGTGGAACTCTTCATTTTACATCAACAAAACAATACAGGTCACATTCTAGACCTCTAGGTAATAAAAACCCTCCTACAATATAAATTCCATATAGTCTTTAATTTGGCTCAGTTCTGAGATGTAACAATTTTGACAAAATTTTTCAGAATCAGAATACAGTAGAATTAAGAAACACAAAACTAAAATAAAGCAAAAGGTGTAATGGGAGTTATAGCTGTGCAAACAATATGCAGCCAAAACAGTGTTGCTTTTACAACTCTGGAAGTAGATGAAAGATATGTTTAAACAGAAAAGAGATTCTCATTTTTAAAAATTAACCTTTCAAGAAAACACTAATAAACTGCCAGTGTCTTCAGGATTTACGTAAGGCTTTCAGCTGAAGTGTGAAACTCTGTACTGATAACTCATTTTTAGCCTTTTATATCCTCCTGTGTAGTACAAAAACTTAAGTTGTTATTACTATAAGTAATTAGCATTTTCATGTATACAAACAGTAAACCTAAATGATCTGAGTTTTCCTCTCTCATCCTCTCATTATAATTTGAAATTTTGAAAATCTTTTATAAATCCAAATACCTAACAATTTTACTCAGCTGATTTTTGGCATCTATAAAAACATATACTCCTAATAATTAAATATATTATAAGAAAGAGCTAGCCACTCCAGCAACCCTCAGTTTGTTTCCTGAGATTAAGAATTCCTCATATCAGTGAGGTCATATGATACATGTCTTTCTCTGGGGAGGGTTGGGTGGCTGGGTGATAGACATTGGGGAGGGTATGTGCTATGGTGAGCGCTGTGAATTGTGCAAGACTGTTGAATCACAGATCTGTACCTCTGAAACAAATAATGCAATATATGTCAAGAAAAAAAAAGGGGGGGGGAGATGAACCATGAGAGACGATGGACTCTGAAAAACAAACTGAGGGTTCTAGAGGGGAGGGGGGTGGGGGGATGGGTTAGCCTGGTAATGGGTATTAAAGAGGGCACGTACTGAATGGAGCACTGGGTGTTATATGCAAACAGTGAGTCATGGAACACTACATCAAAAACTAATGATGTAATGTATGGTGATTAACATAACATAATAAAAAATTAAAAAAAAACCTGTACACAAATGTTCATAGCAGCTTTATTCATAATAGTCAATAACTGGAAACAATCCAGATCCACACCATGGAATACTACCCAGGGGATGGGTTAGCCTGGTGATGGGTATTAAGGAGGGCACGTTCTGCGTGGAGCACTGGGTGTTATGCACAAACAATGAGTCATGGAACACTACATCAAAAACTAATGATGTAATGTATGGTGATTAACATAACATAATAAAAAATTAAAAAAAAACCTGTACACAAATGTTCATAGCAGCTTTATTCATAATAGTCAATAACTGGAAACAATCCAGATCCACACCATGGAATACTACCCAGCAATAAAAAGAATGGACTACTGATACATATAAACCAACTGAAAGAATCTCCAGGGAATTATCCTAAGTGAAAAAATCTAATCCCTCCCAAAAATACCTTATGATTCCATATATACATTCTTGAAATATCAAAATTACAGAAATAGAGAATAGATTAGTGGTTGCCAGAGGTCAGGGAGGGGGTGGGTGTGTGGGCTTGAAAAGGACAATAGGAGGGATCTCTGTGGTGAAGCCACTGTTCTCTATCTTGACTGTATCAATGTCAATATCCTGGGATTTTACTATTATACCACAGTTTTACAAGATATTACTGAGGTGAAGTGAGCAGGATACAGAGGATCTCACTGTATTATTTCTTAACACCTAGTATGAATCTACAATTATCTCTAAATAAAAATTTGAGTTAAAAAACATATAAGCTGAAACAAAAGAGAGAAAAATGCAATTGTCTAGTAAGTTTTATATGTCAGTGGTGGTGTTACGGATATTTTTTAATTTTCTTATGCTTTCCTACATTTTTTTTTTAAAGATTTTATTTATTTGACAGAGAGAGACACAGCGAGAGAGGGAACACAAGCAGGGGGAGTGAGAGAGGGAGAAGCAGGCTTCCCGCTGAGCAGGTAGCCCGACGTGGGGCTTGATCCCAGGACCTTGGGACCATAACCTGAGCCTAAGGCAGATGCTTAATGACTGAGCCACCCAGGTGCCCCAACTTTTCTACTTTTTTTTTTTTTTTTAAGATTTTATTTATTTGAGAGAGAGAGAGCAAGCGCACAAGCAGGGGTGGGGAGGGGCTGAGGGAGAGGGAGAAACAAACTCCTCGCTGAGCAGGGAGCGCCACTCGGGGCTTGATCCAGGACCCTGGGATCATGACCTGAGCTGAAGGCAGACGCTTAATGACTGAGCCACCCAGGTGCTCCTTTCCCACATTTTCTAAATTAGAAAAATGAATATATATATTTATAACAGAAAAAAAATGAATATATTTTTAAAATATCTCCTGAGACTCATGTATTACTTTTCCACTAAAGAAAATTACTAAAATATGTAATTGTCTGCTCTGAGACTTCATTATTTGTCACACTGGGTAAATTAATTTAGACAACTCTGCTTCCACTGAACTAAGAAGACATGTGGAAAATGAGAATTTTGATTACAGGAGTAAGAGAGGGACAATGTCAGCAGGGTAGAAGGGTGGAAGGCTTTGAACAGCCAAGAGATTTACAAGAGCACCATGTGCCTGAGGACAGAAGAGAAAGGAGCAGAAAAGAAAGTAAAAAGATACCGAACAACTCGGTACACATAGCAATTTTTCCTAGGCTCTGGTGACCACAATCATTATCTACCTATTTTTTCATTTAGCAAAAATTAAGTACCTTGTACATTCAACACACTCCATTAAAGGTTAAGGGGCAGAGGCAGGTTAGTGTACCTGTTAAGAACATAAGAACATCTCAAATGAGATGAGACAACATGGGCACATGATATGACCACTCCCATCCCCACTTCCTGACCCATAAATAAAGTCGGTAACATAAAACCTAGAAAACAAATAATGCAATATATGTCAAGAAAATGGAATACAAAGATTAGTTAAGAAGAGAAGTGATAAAAAATGGAATAATGTAAGGATTAAAGGATGTAACTTTTGAAGTGTGACAGGGACTCAACTAAGAAATGATAGTTATTACTATATTAAAAATGCTTATTCTCCATTTACTTACTCCTAAAATACAAGTCTTGCACTCATGCAGAGCAGGTTATTGTTCTGTATGAGACTTCTTATTTATTAACGAACTTTACCTGTAATTTTAACTCAGTCATTACCTTATGATTCTCTGCATTTTCCATGGCAAAGTAAGGTGGCATTGCAGTAACAATGATTCCCAGTAAAGCTGCCTGAAAATACAGCTCAATTTTGAAAACGATGTCTGTAATTTCCTGAAAGACAATCACAGAGTAAGAAATGAAACTGAGAATCACTTTATATCATCTTACTACTTTCTAAATAAAAGACTATCAAAATCTCTGAAGAAACACATTAGGATATCTATCCTAGGCATAGTCTATATGAAAAAACAGGTGGCAGAGTTAACAGGCTGTGAGTTACAGGACCAACTCTGCCACTTAGTAAGTAGCTATATAATCCTGAGCAAGTCAGCGTATTTCCATTTTCTTATCTACAACACAGAATAACAGGGCATTTAAATTAAGCTTTACCATTTAACTAAAAATAATAATGTACATGAAAAAGCAGTTAACATGTCCACCAGTAGTCCTATGCAATGAACAGGCAGAATGATTTCTGATGCACTAATTGGTTGCTGGGACTATGAGCCATTTGGGATCTCGGGGCCCCTCTTCCTTTTGAAAAAGCTGTACTTGGGAACAAGCTCAGCCTCCTATGGAAACAGGAGTTTCTTCTCCCCAGCATGGGGGCCTATAACTCCCACAGGCCTCAATGGTCCCTTGCTGCCCCAAAGATCCAAGTAGAGAAGGAAACTTTTCCAGACAACTAAAATAAACAGCTGGTGCCCCAAATACAAACTACCCAGAACCAAGTGCACTGTATTACCCCGGCCCTCAACAGGCTCAAGGGTCTTCTGGAGGGTGGGAGAGATAATGAAATCTAGAACTGATGTAGTGATGGATGCAGAACTCTATGAACATAATAAAAATCACTGGATTGAAATGAGTTAATAGTGTTATGAAGTGTATCTCAATAAAACTGTTAAAAAAAGTATAGCAATAGAAAGTAAAAAACGCTATCACAGAAAGATAATTGTCCATTTATTTTTCAACATGCGAAAAATAAAACATAAGGGTGAGAGAAAAATGTTGACTATTTTCCTGAAGAGTTAATTTTCACATTTATAACCCAATAGTCCTATCTAGAGGAAAAATGACTGTATGTGCAACTTCTCAAGTTTATTTCGCTACCCCAGTAAGAGATTTTAGATGAACAATATTCATTTTTAAGTTATCTTAATTTTTCTTGTCTGATTAATACAAAAAATACTTATGCTTTATAAAAGTTATCAGTACCAAGACAGAACTTCCTGACCCTGAAGCAAACTAATACTGGGCACTCCTAAACCCAGATGTAAAGCATCCCCAAGTCAAGCCTTAGACTAAGAACTGTCACATGATAAACATCTACAGATTTCCTTTGTAGTAGTACTTGGCTTTTATTACACACACACACACACACACACACACACACACACTTTTTAAAGTTTGCTTACTTGAAAGAATGGGGTATTCCAGACCTGGATGCTTTCGGTCACATTTAAATGATAAAGATAGTAATTACTGATAATATTCATCAATACAGGTAAAGAATAAACCATAGTACTGTTGAAAACAGCTGTAAAAACATAGTCCTACAATTTAAAAAAAGAAAGTGCTATTACATACCATATATAAATACATTGCTACTGGGTACTAAGCCTTCTCACAGACCAAGAGAATCCTCACTAACTAAAAGTTGATTCAACAAATTATCGAAATAATATTCAATAGATAAAGATAGATGGATAAAGAAAACCTGGTTTGGAGTCTATAAATTTTTGGTATTCTAAACAAAAATATAACAAAGATTAAATTTTTTATAGTTTTGTATATTGTTCATCCACCAGGTCATAAAACACATTATAAACACAGCTAGCTATGTCCAAAAGTAAATTCTCATTTCCAACTAATGACGTCAGATCAGCAAACGACTGATTTTAGAGAAAATACCTTAATGTCCTATAACCTTCGAATAGGTCTTCACTCACATATTTTACTCTTACCTTTTCCGAATACATCACATTTAAAGCCGCACTGTGGGGGGCAGCAGACACATAGTCACTGTCATTAAACATGGTCACCATTATGCTCCGGTTTGTGAAAAAGCTAGTAAGATCGCTGATATCGGAGTCTGGTATGAGAAAATAAGCAAATAATAAAGAATCAGTTTAAATAAGAAACAGACACAGACTTTCCATAACATTGAAAGAGCTTTTTTTTTAAAAACAGGTTATCTTCGTTAGATAAGACATGATTAAGAACACTGGCTCTGGAGGCCGTCAGCCTGGATTCAAATCCAAGTCAATACATACACAGGCTTTAAAAACAGAACCGGGCACAGTAATTGTACAGATTTCAGCTCCCGCTGCTGCTACTATTATTACATTGAAAGTTTACCTATAATACTCACATGAAATCTGGTTAAATTGTGAGAATAAAAATCTGGCAGTTTTATGTAATAAAAGAACCTGCTAGGCTCAGAAAGGTAGAACAAGGCAGGGTGTGGAGTCAGGTAACATCACTCCTTAGAGGATTTCTGTGTGCTCTGAACAGAAATATTTTATAGATGTCAATTGCCTTAAAATATTAAAACACATAATCAGGTCTCCATCTACATTCTTTAAATTGCCTGGAGCCAAGGGAAAGATTATGAATCCTGTCTGAGGTTTAAATCTATACCAACAAGTCTGATGAATGGAAACTGCTCTCCCTCCATTTTCACAAAAGCCAGAAAGGACAAATGTGACTTGGAGAGAAATCAAAACCAAGCAAAGGAAACCACTATCAGTAATTAAAAATAGTATGGCCTGTGGATCAGACTGAGCACCAAACTTGAGTGTCAGAGAGAATGGTGCTTTTAGAGCTTTCACTGGTGTTTTCTTACCTAGTATCTCAAATGATCTCTCTTCTCTAGTTTGCCACAGTGGCTCTGTACTCTTGAGAAGAGTGCTACATTATAACTGAAGGAACTGTATCACCTGTGACACAAAAAGCTGTGCAAGGAGGATCAGATACAATCTAATACACATACACAGAGGCCAGTAGTTTCCAAAGGAAACATGGCTTTATTTAGGACCAAAAAGGCCTAGGAAGATGTAGGGTACGTATGTGAGCAAATTCTAGAAATACTAAAAAAATAACAAAAGGGACAAAACTTTGAAAATACTAGTATTTCTGCAGATCACTGAGAGTGAGCTCAAAACAAAATGATTTGAGATACATATACAATTTCCCAAACGCACAAAAAATGCCACTATGTGAGTATAAGGCTCTATGCAGCACTATATTTTACCAACATGAAATGTGTATTAAAATCAAAACAAAAATTCTAATGAAAGAAATCAATTATAAAACATCACATTTTCTATTCAAGAGTAGTTTTCTGTCACGAAATACAGTCTTCCTCCAAAAGAATAAAGATTATATAATAAACTGGGAGTCACATTTTAAAAGTGATGATTTTTAAAAGTAATTTATAATCATCCCTAACTATGATTATTATCTAACACTGGTCAAAGCTCTTCAGGTTAATAGTGAATCAAAAAGGAAAGATACTAGAATATAGGTAAGTGTTGGAAAATATTAAACCCCAAAGAGTTTGTGAGGTATATAAGTGATTATATTAAATGCAATTTTCTAACCTATTTCAGCAAGATAAGCAAATAAAGTTGCCTCTGTTTCACTGTAAATTTGCCAGAGTTAGCTAACCTTGATTTACTCTTGAAGAACCTTGGGACTGTATCTATACAGATGAGAGATTTTGTAGGAACAACTGTTCATATATGAATGAAATTTTGTATTAGGTTTAATTATTTTGAAAAGCAGAATCCAATGTCAGGTTTTTTGTTGTTTTTTTTTTTAAACTTGTTCTAGCCTAGCTCAAGACCACGGTTCTTAATTTTTTTTCATATCTGACAACTATGTAATTAAGAATAATCAACAGCAAATTCAAAAATATTCATTACCAATTTAATGTATTTGATTATATCTAATGCAATTTTTCTTAATTCTAATTTTTCAGTCCTTGAAAAATTATTTAAACATTTCTATTTAGATATCTAACTACATAAATATTACATACTGTAACTCTTTCTAAAGGTGTTTCAACTTCTGAAGTTTATTTTGCTTGCCATAAACTTTAATATGAAACACACTACTCTGAGAATATGTTGCTACCATTAAAAAAGGAAATCTTAATATCATTAACAGGACAAGGTTAGTTTTAAAAACTGTAATCTACACTTAACCAAAATTTCATATCTGTAATATATTAATCAGCATCAATAAGGAGTTTTTTAAAACTTAGATTTGTACGGACAGACCATGCCTTTACATCTATTTCTAAAATCCCAACCTCTGACCTATATCCCACACCCCATGCCCCAACCAACACACATTCACAGACCTTCACACACTCTCACCAGTAGAATTTTGAAGAAGCAGACTTGTTTTGTATTTATGAGGTTTATCTCCAGGTTTTAGCAAATATAAGTCTGGAACAAGTTTGATGGGAACCACAGCATTTTTAAAAGAGCGATGCACCAAAAACATAAAAATCTGAACTGCGAAAAAAATTAAAAGCAGAAGCAACCTGAAAGGAAAAAAATAAAACAGCATAGGACACATTAATATGTAAATCTATTTTTAAAAATTCTCCTTCAAATAAGTTAAAAGTACACATGAAAAAAAAGAGAGAGACAGAGACATAGAGAGAGAGAGAGAGAAAAGAAAAAAAAGACCTGAAGGAAATAGTGCTTGGGAATAGAATTTCTACTCTCCAAAATGATCTCATGACAATACTGGACAGAAAGCCAGTATTCAATGACAAAATTAAAAGTTATGAAACTAAGATCAGAGTCATCCGGAAACTTTTATGGGGTATATAAACTTCTGCTTATAGTTTTTTAAGAACCAGACATTATGCCACATTTACATGTCTATTGTCCTGAGGGAACTACTATTATTTCCTGCCCTATGTCTTAACTATTTACTCTCCTATGTTTTAGAAAAGATATAATACAAAAATATTTTAGATATAGAGAAGGAAACAAAAATACAGGGAACCTTTGTTTTGTTTTTAAACACAGTGAAACTTTGAATGACTGTTATCTTTGAAATGTCATCCACACCATATTAATTTCCATTGTTCCTCTACACTCCATTGTTCCTCTAGAGAGAGGCAAAGCAAGATATACTACAGCCAGTTATAAGGATCATTATTTGCTGTTGGTCAAGTACATAATTCTATTACCTATTCAAAACGCCCTTCTATCTGGAAGGTAGATATCCTTCTGTCTTATCCTATAAAATATTTGCTATATTTTATGTGATAGGTGTCATAGCAAGTGGGTAGAGAGAGTTTAGATTATTACAGTTTAGCATTTTATAATTTTCAGAAACCCTCCAATTTAAAAAAAAATCATTCTTATAAATTGTTGTAAGTATACCTGAATCAGCATTTCCAAAAGCATACTGCATTAAACCCTAGTTCCATAATCAGTTAATAGGTGTTTCACGTTCAAAAATTCATGATTAAACAGTATTTGGAAACTCTAGATTTAACAAAACTGAAGCAATTTCTTTACCATAGAACCTCTCATGTGTTTTCATATGCTAATAAACAACTCTTTAAGACAGGAAATATAAGATACAGTATTACCTAAATGCACAGATGGTCAAATGCATATTTGGAATACTTTGTGTTAGGACTTGAATATTTGTGTCACCCTCCCCCTAAATTCATATACTGAAGCCCTAACCCCTAGTGTAATGGTAGTAGGAAGAAGGCCTTTGGGAGGTAATCAGGATTAGATGAGGTCATGGGCATAGGGCCCTTGAGATAGGATTAGTGCCCTTCTAAGAGATTAGAGAGCTTGCTCTCTGTCCCCTGTGTGTCAACAAAGAAAGTCATATGAGCACACAGCAAGATAATGGCCCATCTCTGCAAGCCAGGAAGGGTGCCCTCAGGACCAATTTTGTACCCTAATCTGATTTCCACTCTCTAAAACCATGATAAAATAAATTTCTGTTGTTTAAGCAACCCAAGTCTATGTTACTTTGTTATGGCAGTCTGAACTAAGACTTTTATTGTTTTTCAGGGAGTATTTTAGGAGAATAGTGTTCAATTAAAAAAACTGAAACATGCTGATTTAAATAAATATTTTTCTTTTAGTAATGCTGAGACTGGAATATATGAGACACTTGGCTGACATTTCTTTGATACTGAATAAACTAGGGCAAAAAAGCAAATGAATTCAGCATATATCAAGCATATAACAATATTCTTGCTTATTAAATTTTATTTCTACTGCCATTTTGGATCTAACAAGATCAGTGTGTGTTACAGGAAAATATTTAATGTTATGTCCCAATAACTGAAAGTCTAGCACGCATTGGGAACCTGAGAGAGGTAAAGCAAAGCTGAAAAGATATCATTTTGATCCCAGTTCTTGAAGCTATAAAGCCTTCTTTATATTTGTTTCTTTATCTGATACAGAGATAAAACTTACTCTTCCTGCTGTTTACAAAAAGCAGTTATACATAATAGTAATACATACACAATACATCGTGTAAAATAGCAAAATAAAATTTAAATAGTAATAATTCAAAAATTACACAATTAAAGAATATAATGACAGTCCCTCAGTTAGACGAGACAAAAAAATGCTAGTTTAAAAAAAGAGTGAGGGCGCCTGGGTGGCTCAGTCGGCTGCCTTCGGCTCAGGTCATGATCCTGGAGTCCCGGGATCGAGTCCCGCATCGGGCTCCCTGCTTGGCGGGGAGTCTGCTTCTCCCTCTGACCCTCCCCCCTCTCATGTGCGTGCGCTCTCTCTCTCATTCTCAGTCTCTCAAAATAAATAAATAAATCTTTAAAAAACAAAACAAACAAAAAAAACGTGAAAATCCTTTAAAAAAATAAATAAAAAAATAAAAAAAGAGTGAAAGCTCTAGTGGTATTCAAAGAAATCACTAAATGCATAGTTCTTTTCTCTGACGTGAAGTTATAGTCTTAATCTTTCAAAACTACATAGATTTACATATGTCTACATTTAGATGACAAACTGAATTTGTAGCCTTAAAAAAACAACTCATCAGGCAGGACAGTGATCATACTTACACTGATCTTACTGATTTACTTTCCCGTTTCAAGGTAAGCAAATGAAACTTTGCTATTGTATACACCTGCTGTTTCCAAAGGCTCATGGTGCTCACAAGGGAAGCCTTGGTTTCAGAAAGAATAAGTAAGCTCTGCTCCATTTCATCAAAAGATTTTGAATCCATTTCTTCCTCTGGTGGCTGCTGAGTAAATACACTATAATCTACTTGCCAAAACAAAACAAAGACAGAAAATTATGGGATATTCCTTAAAAGAATGAAAATCTTTCCGAGGCATGTAAATTTTAAAGAAGCACACATCTGGTGGTGATGTAGGACAAACAGAACTCTCATATACTTTGGCAATATTATTAAAACTGAACACATGCAGGCGCCTGGGTGGCTCAGTCAGTTAAGTACCTGCCTTCGGCTTGGGTCATGATCCCAGGGTCCTGGGATCGAGCCCCGCATTGGGCTCCCTACTCAGCGGGGAGCCTGCTTCTCCCTCTCCCTCTGCCTGCCTCTCCCCCTGTTCGTGCTCTCTCTCTCTCTGTATCTCTGTGTCTCAAATGAATAAATAAAATCTTAAAAAAAAAAAAAACTGAGCACATGCATATCTTATGATCCAGAAATTCTCCACTAGGTATAAACGCAACAAAGATACATACATAGGTCCACCAAAACACATATACAAGAATATTCTTAGCTAGCTACCTGTCAAGAATAGCTATAAACTGGAAGAACCCAAACGTCTACCAACAGGTGAATGCGTAAGTTGTGAAATACTCTTGTAATAAAATAGTCTAAAACAATGAAACTCAATAAACTACTATACAACTACAGTAGTTTAAACCTTACAAACTTATATTGGGTTAAAAAAATCAGACACAAAAGAGACATACTATATGATTTTTTTAAAGGTTTTATTTATTTATTTGACAGAGAGAGAGAGCACGAGTGGGGAGGAGGGAGGGAGAGAGAGAGAAGCAAACTCCCCGCTGAGCAGGGAGCTGAGCAGGGAGCCCAATGTGGGGCTCGACGACGAGTAATTGACTGAGCCACCCAGGCGCCCCCACACCGTATGATTTATACCATGAGACCAAACACAGATAAAATTAATCAATGAGGATAGGAAAAAGGATATTTTTATAAGTGATTCAATTTTTATTTTTTTATAAAGATTTTTATTTATTTATTTGATAGAGACAGCGAGAGAGGGAACACAGCAGGGGGTGTGGGAGAGGGAGAAGCAGACTTCCCGCTTGAGCAGGGAGCCTGACACGGGGCTCGATCCCAGGACCCTGGGATCATGACCTGAGCTGAAGGCAGACACTTAATGACTGAGCCACCCAGACGCCCCAGTGATTCAATTTTTAAAAAAATGAAAAATAATGAAGAGATGAAATTGGTTTCAGTATGAGGAGAACCACAAAGAAGGACTTCCTTGACTTACGTTAAATTTAAAAAATGAGTAAACATTAAAAACTTTAAGAGTGGAATGGAATAATGCATAAAATAATAATGAACCACAGCCAAGATAACCCAAAGGTTATCTTGGGACCTTTGCAACTCAACAGTTTAGATGAATGACTTAGTAAGATGAACCAATCTAAACCCTCTCGTCAATCAAACTAAAAATGGGGGCTAAAATATTATATATCACAATCATGGTATTCAGTGAGCACCAATTTACCTTCTACAGAATTTGGTATTTTTAACCTTTGAAAAATAAAACAATTAAAATCAGCCAAACTGAAAGCAAGCCGATGTTAGAGGTACATTTATTCTGCATGGTGGACTTAAAGGTATACAAAATAAAGCCAGTAACACCTACACTGCACATAGCCTTCTCATCTTTATCCCCCTACCCAACTTTACAGACTACTTCCTATACCTCAAAATATTTAGCATAACAGATAACAAGCATCTTCTCCACCTAATTCTCTTCCATCACCCAAAGTATTACAAATATACTCACCAATAATGCGTTCTACATCCTCACCTCTAACTTCCTCTACGTCTATTTCCACACCTTTATCTCTACTCAATTGCATCAAACTGGACACATGTCCAAATTTGATATCTTGTTCTCTCTCCAATTATGTAAGATCTAAAACTTTTATGTGAACTTTCTCTGATACAGTCTGATAGCACATCCTCAAAGTAAACCTGACTTTGTCCTTTCTCCATGTTTGAGAGAAACATCCTGTTTCCTTCACCCTCCTGACCCACCACCACCACCACCACCATCTTGCTAACTTTCAATCGTAAGAAAAGTTTCCTCAACTCACATTCTCACCTTAAACTTCATAGAACCAGCTTTGACCTTTACCAGGCTACTGTCAAGGTCACCACTGACTTCCACACTACCAAAGCCCTCACTGTCTTTCCCTGTTTCCCAAAACCATCTTTTCTGTTCTTATTCTTCACAGCAATCAGCAAATAAGTGACCACTTCCTCTTTCCTAAAACACTATTTTGTCTGGGCTTTTACATCTCCTTTTGTGAAGAGAGAAAATGCAATGATGGGTCCCTCTCAGTCAGCCCTTTCTGGCCCTTCACTACTCAACCTCAGGGTTTGCCCGTCCACTCTTTATCTGTACTCTTTCCGAGTTATTTCATCCAAACCCATGGCACCATCTACCTGTGGGTAACTCCAGAATTTAAATCTTCAGCCCTAACATCTTCACTCAGCTGACAATCCATCAGCAAAACATCACCAGTACCATGAATATAACCCAAGTCTATTCTGTTTCCCTATTTTCTCAACCACCCTAGCTCAAGACAAGATTAAGTGTAATAGTTTCCTAACGGTCCTCCTGCTTCCACACTTCCTTTACAATCTACTCATCATTTAACAATCAGAATGCATTTTTAACTTTTTTATTATTAATTTATTTATTTACGTTTTTAGGGAGGAGAGAAGGGCAAAGGAAGAGGGAGAGAGAGAATCTTAGGCAGACTCCATATACAGTGCAAAGCCAGATGTGGGGCTCAATCTCACAACACTTAGATCATGACCTGAGCTGCAATCAAGAGTTGGACGCTTAACCAACTGAGCCACCCAGGCACCCCCAGAATGCATTTTTTAAACATGCAAATCAGATCATGTTACTCCTTTGCTTTAGAACTCTCAATAGCTTCACACTGCACTAAGAAAACAAACCAAATTCTTTTCCAGATATTCAAAGACTAAATATGATCTGGCTCCTGACCCTCCCCTCTAATCTCTCTTTGGCTCTCTAAACTCTATCCACAGTGGCCTTTTCTTTATCATCAAACACATCCAATTCATTCCTTAATTAACAGTTTGCGGGGGCACCTGGGTGGCTCAGTCGGTTAAGTGTCTGCCTTTGGCTCAGGTCATGATCCCAGGGTCCTGGGATTGAGCTCCACATCAGGCTCCCTACTCAATGGGGAGCCTGCTTCTCCCTCCCCCTCTGCCTGCCGCTCCCCCTGTTTGTGCGTGCGCTCTGTCAAATAAATAAATAAAATCTTTAAAAAAAAAAAAGTTTGCAGAAGCAGTTCCCTTTATCTAAAAAGCTTTGCAATAAAATCCTCACATATTTAGATTTTTCTTGCCATCCAACTCTTAGTTTATCATCTCAACACAGTCCTCCCTAAAGATACAATCTAAGTTACCTGCCTCCCAAGACCACCCCATTATTTCCTTCATAATCCTACTGCTATCAGTAAATATCTCAGTTACTTATTTACCTGTTTCTATCTACCCTTTCTTCCTCTAAAAACATATTTCACATGTTTATTTAATTATTCATCTCATTTACCATCTCTCTGGTTCATTGCCTAAAATTTTTTATTAGTTTTGTTTTTACCTGCTTGGTCAATTTCTGCTTCAACTTCTAGCTTTAAGAACACATCTTCCAAAGTCGTCATTGAAACACCGTAAGAAATTACACCCAAATTTGAATGCGTGTCTAGAGCAGAAAATAAACCTAAAGGGAAAAAAAAATAATGTTGTGTAGTTAAGCATATCATCATGAATTATTCTAAAATACACTTTTAAATGGGATAGGACTAAATTTACTCTGCTAACACAGTTCTCAAACATTTTGGTCTCAGAACCCCATTAATATTCCTAAGAATTGCTAAGGACCCCAAGGAATGTTTGCTTATAGAGATATACCTAGTGGATATTTATCATATTATAAATTAAACCTAAGAAATATTTTACAGACAGAATGATAGGCAGGGCACATTAAAGTTGGCTTATGTAGTTCATTCCAGTTAATTAAGGACTTTTTTTCCCTAGGAAAAAAATCAATTAAATTAATATAGAAAATCTGTTAAATGACATAAATGTTACGGGAATTCTGCACAACATATCTGCATCAATAATATCCTTTTGGTTATTAAGAGATCCCTAACAGATACGGAGACTGAGTATGAGTTCCTCATTGTAAAGCGGAAGAATAATGTCACAATTAAAATAATTCAAGGGTTTACCATATTATTATGTCCTTCATTATGGAATCATGAAATTGGAAAAGAACTTGAGAACACAAACAACTGTGTTTGTATAATTACATATTCCCAGGAGGCCGCCGAGCAAATGGAGCAATCTTTCTTGACAACAAAGCAAATACATTTACTTAACATATTAGTTACAGTTTCCTGCATAGTGTTTGCAAAAAACAGAAAGAAAAAAAACCCACATTAGCTTGTAGTTTCTGATTTTCAAATGTAAAGTAGAAATGTAAAATTAAGTAAAGCCACCTGGGAACATGTAAATATTACACAGAAAAAAATATAATGAAGTAAACCAAGAAAACCTACTCCCAATGCAAGATCCTGGTTCAACAATCAGGAAACTGAAAGTAATACCTGCAAATTTGTCCATGTCCTTTAAAGGCAAGCTATACACAAGTTGTTGGTCATTCTGTTGTAATAAGGTAGCTCCAGGTATATGTTGTTTAACCAGGGAAGAAAGAGATTCAGTGGCACAATATCTGTCTATGTACATGCTAGAGAAAAACAAAAGTCATAATTTTTTTAATAATTAATAAACAACCAAAAGTAAATTCTGAATGCCTGAAGTAAAGTTAGTGCCATAAAAATTGGCGAAACCACATTATGGCAATTCTGAAATATAGTAATAGCAGTTCAAGAACACTATAAAGAATAAAGTCAACCAAGAATGAATGATACCTTAGGCGGTAGCCAATCCCCCATTTACTTTTGAGAAAAATTGAGGAACCAACACATTTCAACATTCCTTGTGATATGACAGCTTTCCTATCTGCAAACAGAAATTTGTATTTCAATTTTTACGTTAGTAACAGCATTTGCATTTCAATTTTTTAAGTCAGTTGGCATTTATATTTCTCCCATATAAGACACCAATATCATCATTAAATATTCACAACCTTATTAGAAAGAAACCAGATTATCACTTCCTGGTTTTTAAATGAGAACACCGAAGCAATGAGAAAACATATTGTTTGCCCAAGTTTTACATAGCTTAAATGACAAAGCCAGACATTGTAGCCACATAGTTCCGATTCTAGAGTCTACTTTCCTAATACTGTTCCAAATATCTCAGACTCTTCCTAAAAGGCTCACAATTTCCTTTATAATCAAATGTAAAAACAAAAAGCAAAAAAAAAAAAAAAGCAGTTTGTTGGGTTTTCTAAATACTTTTTTTTTTAAACAAAGATACTACTGAAAAAAATGAATCTACAATGTAGATTGTGCTGAACACTGGCTTCCTTCTGGGGGAGTGGAATTTTGGTACATGGCTGTCAGCAGGTGCTTCTACGACCAGCACCCATTAAAAACCTTGGGCGCAGAGTCTCTAATGGGCTTTCCTGGTAGACAACATTTCACATATGTTGTTAACAACTCCTTGCTAGAGAAATTAAGCATATTCTGTGTGACTCCAATGGGAGAGGAGTTTTGGAAGCTCATGACTGGTTTCCTCCATGTCCCATATGCCTCTTCATTTTGCTGATTTTGCTTTGTATCCTGTCAGTCTGTGGTAAGAACTCGTAAGTACAACTATATGCCGAGTCCTGTTAGTTCTCCTGGCAAATTACTCAATCTGAGATGATCTGCAGGACTCCCAAACACAAAAATATGTAATTTTTAAAAAGTTTAAAACACACACCTGTGTGAAGTTCACACACCTTCTTTATTCCTTGGGATTTAGTTATCTCTATCCATCTCCTATTTGGCCCCATGACCTTATCTTTCAAAAATAAAGTAAAAATCTCACCAGCAAGAATGTCAGCTTCATCCATGAAATGAGTACTAAACACTGTTACTCGATTAGATTTTCCATATTTCAGAAGATTCCAAACAATATGACGAGAACAGGGGTCCATTCCAGCTGTTGGTTCATCTAGCAATAGTATCTGTGTGAAAAAGAGCAGGGAATGGCAGAGAATCCTCAGAAAAACTAAAATACATAAAATTTATGGACATGGGAAACTTTCCCATTTCAAATTATTATTCCAACAAGAAGTATATTAGATCTGAGTTTTTCACTCATATATGAACTAGCAGAAATTTTTTAAACTATCAGTTTGGCAAGTGAATATTTTCCTTGTTTCAATTTTAAAAGACTATTATCAGTAACATATATGACATAAGCGTAATAACAATCAGATACGTAAATTAAAAAATAAAACATCGATGGGGGTTGAGAGAAAGACAACATAAAGCCAGAACCCAGAGTCACCCCAAGCTACAGCAGCAAGGAGAAAGCAGCAGGATGGCGGGGACCCCGAGGGCTCGGGCTGCAGCTTTCTAGCCCTTTGCAGAGCCCTGTCACCAGATGGTTCTGTTTTACAGGACAAACAAGAGCCCGGAACAGACACATACGAAATAAAATCAGAACAGTGAAAAACGGAACTATTCCTTTGGTTTTGTTCTGTTTTTAAATTTTATTCTGAACTATTACAAACATATAGAAAACTAAAGAGAATTAGGGCAATACTGTTAAAGCCACCAATGAAATGCAACAAATGCCATTTTTAGGCCATATTTTCTGCAGATTTTTAAAGAAATAAAACATTGCAAATATAACTAAAATCCATCCTTTCCATTCCCCTTCCCAGAAGTAACCACCACCGTAAATGTTTTATCTTTACGATTCGAGTTTCAAACCTTTTTACTATAATCACATCCATAATAATGTATAGCATTTTATGTATACTGAAACTTTACATATTATTGTATGTAAACATACACTAGATTATATTTGTATATAATACAATAATATTTATTTACCTTTGGATTCCCAAGAACAGCAATTCCTAAAGACAGTTTTCTTTTTTGACCACCACTTAACTTTTTAGCTTGATTATCTTTGATAGCCTGCATGTCTAAATCCAGTAAAACCTTCTGCACCTGTAAAGTGAGAACAATGTTTTTTTAAATTATACGATTAATAATTATCAATATTAATTTTTAAGTGTCTCAATTTTAATATCAACTTAAAAAATGTTCTTTTAGTACAGACTTTAATTTTGACATGTATTCATATATAATTTTGAAATAACAGATAAAAAGATTCCTGATTGATAGGTCTGTTTTACTTTTGTGACTTCCTGGGTACTGGTGAAGGGATCAGTTAGAAACCTCTGTGTGTGGGTGGGTGGGTGGGTGGGTGGGTGTGTGTGTGTGTGTGTGTGCGCGCGCACGCACGGTAGAGGAAAGGAGGCAGATGTGAAAGGAAAGGAAGAAAAGAAAAACCTATACTGAGAGGCTAGTTTCCTCCAGATGAAACAAGGACTATTTTATATGTGCTAAAATATTTACTCCAAATTCCATCCAATTCTTTGTAATAAATTTGTTTACTGACTCAGAACAGGTTTTTATTTAGATTTTCGTGCATTTTTTTTTTTTACAACAGTTATTACGAAAGGTTAGTAATTTATAGGGAATAAAGTAAAAATTTCTATATGAATGACATACTTCTTGTATTACATTATTGGCTGGTATTCCTTTGATTGAAGCCAAAATGGATAAGTTTTCTTCTACTGTCAAAACATCAAAGTGTATATCTAACTGTGGACAAATGCCAATCATTTTTCTTGCTTCAAACATTTCGTCTATTTCTGAGACTCTGTGTCCATATATAGATGCAAATCCTAAAAGCAAAATATATATTTAAATTTATATTAACTATATTAAATATTAAAAAGTCTATATGCCTTAATGTACACTAATAATTTAGTTACCTGTATGTAGTAAATATATAAAGTATGAGTTAATACAAACTTGTAAGATACAACAAACCCTCATTTCCATACTATTGGTGATCTGCTTCCACCTTATTTCCAATCTCATTTTCCTTCATTTTCAGGTGATATTACACAGTGGAAAGAGCAAGGAATCGGAGCTTAACACTAAAAATAATTCTGTCCTGGTACATTATTTACACTTATATTTCAGTAGCAATTTTCCTTCATTTCCAGGCATTATTCAATAGTGGAAAGAAGAAAGAAACTAAAAAATTTCCCCTAACTAGATATGTGGTCTTGAGAAAATCAGTCTGAATTCCAGCTTTTCTCTTCTATAAACTAAATACAAAATATCCTACTTAAATTTAAGAACTATTTAATCAATGTGATAATGTAAGAATTATAACAAAAATCATAAATTCCTATTAAATATAAGATATTACCACTATCACATTAAAAAGTGACACAATTAGGGATAAGCAACAAAACTAATTTCAGAAGTTAAACTATATTTTAAGAAATGCAGATTCAATACATGGAAATTCAGCCTTTCTTTTTTTTTTATCTTTTTAAAAAAATTTTTTATTGTTATGTTAATCACCATACATTACATCATTAGTTTTTGATGTAGCGTTCCATGATTCATTGTTTGTGCATAACACCCAGTGCTCCAACCAGAATGTGCCCTCTTTAATACCCATCACCAGGGGAAATTCAGCCTTTCTTAAAATATTTATTGTACTGCCACTCTATTAGGTTATTGTGGAAATATGGAGCTGCCATATTAAATTCTCACCTACAGGGCAATCACATACAACAATTATATGTTTAAGGTATTACTCTTATAATTCTATTTTAGGAGATGGTATTGATATTTATCATTCTTTCCTTTTGAACTGCTGTTGCATATTTAAAAATCTGTACCTACAATCTAAAATATTTATAGGTCTCATTTAATTTCCAATTAATTACTGATTTCTCCTTTCTTGAAAATGAAAATACACAAAAATATCTGATAAAATAAGTAACAAAATCAGATCCTTTTTACTTTATTAAACATGATTGAATCATTTTTATTTTCTATTGAAAAACAAATGTGTATAATAAAAAAATAATAAAACACATTTACAGACACTGAGGTTGGTCTCAAATCACTGAAAAAAATCAGTCTGTACATGTTTGGATGAATCAAGGATAAATAATAAATGATATATATTTATATAAATATAAATCAAGGATAAATAATTATATTATGGTACCTTGGTTAATAACACTAATAAACCGAAGTAAGAGATTTTTTTAAGTCAGAAAACTCTCACCATCAGAAGGCGGGCATAGTCCACAAAGAATATTCATCAATGTACTCTTTCCTGTTCCACTGTGGCCAAGTAACGCAGTAATCTGACCCTCATATATGTCAAATGACAAATCTAATTCAGAAAAGAAGACTCAAATGTGATTTTTATTTCTGTTGAGCTATGCAAAATAATAATGAATACTTGAATAATCTTTAAATAAATCAGTAAGTTCAATGATAGATTTAAAGTTATTAGCGTATTTAATACCATAATACTTAATATTATAGGATAAAAATTCCTTGTTACATTCAATGCTATGGGCAACAAGAAAAGTAGTAAAGATAAACTTATTTTTTGTTATATTAACAGATTTCAAGAATATACAAAACATTGGGGAGGGGTTCTGTGAACCCAGTTTTGGGACTTTCTAAAATAATTAAAACAAACAAAAATTTGTTTTCAAGGGTATTAACAAGGTTAAACACTGGTAAAAATCTAGAAATTAATCAATAGCATGGGAATGGAAGAGTAAATGCCTTAGAAATTCAATTTAAATGAAAGAAACATGGGGAACCTGGGTGGCTCAGTTGGTTGGACATCTGACTCTTGATTTCAGCTCAGGTCATGATCTCAGGGTCGTGAGATATAGCCCCGAGTCGGGCTCTATGCTCAGAGGGGAGCCTGCTTGAGATTCTCTCTCTCCCTCTGCACCTCCCCCCCCACTCTCTCTCTCCTCTAAAAAAAATAAATTAAATAAATAAATAAAACATAAAATGAAGAAATATCACTAGATGGACGTGTCAATGACTAAAGGACAAAAGACAGGGATCTGAAAACCCAGCTTTGAATCACTGTAGATCCTGATTTGATGAAGGTGACCTGGGATTCTCAGTTATCCCTAGAGCTTTAGGCCAGAAGCAAAAATAAATCCTCTCTAGAGGAAGATCGCATCATCCAGAGCATCAAATAATCTCTACAATTTTCATATGCAATATACACTCAGTCAAAGCCAACTGGGCAGGAAACAGCAAGAGAAGATCAAAACCCGAGAGAAAAGACAGGTGACAGAAGCAGACCTAGAGGAGATTTAGATATTGACACCATAATATTCTAAAACAACCATTCTATCATGCTCTCAAGAGAATGTTGACAAAGCACTAAAAGCCATACAAAAGAACCAAGTGGCAAGACAAAAACTGGAAAGGATAAGTGAAAAATATTTCCATACATAGTTTAATCAGGTTAGGCTGAACCACAGAAAATTAGTAAATGACAAGAAACATCATAAGCAAATACCTAGACTAAAGCAGAGAGACAAAACAATAAAAAATTCAGTAGAGAGAATAAAAGACAACTGGGATAAAATGACAAGTCATAAACCTGTAATAATAAACCTAAAGGGAGAGAAAAAAATAGGACAAAAGCAAACTGGAAAAGAAATGGCTGAGAATATTTTTAAAAAGAAGAAAGACATCAAGCCAGCGATTCAAGAAGCACTTATATACCCAAAGTAGAATAAATGTAAAACAAACAAACACCACCAAGGCAGGTGGTAGTAAAACTGAGGAAAACCAAAAAAAGATCTTTCAAAACAGCCAGGGTAAACGTATATACCAACAACAGAAAAAGAATAAAACTAACAGCTGTCTCTGCAGCTCAAACAATGGAAACAAGAAGACAACAGATTACATTTTCAAGTGCTGAAAAAGAACAACCATCAAACTAAAATTATATATTCAGAGAAATATCCTTCAAAACTAAAGGTGAAAGAAAGATACTTGCAAACAAAAACTGAGAAAATGTATCATTGTTAGACCCGCATTAAAGAAAACAGCAAAAACATCTTTTTCATGCACAAGGAAAATTATCCTAGGTAGAAGATCAGAAATGCAGGAAGTAACAAAGATAAATGATGTGGTAAATATATAGGTAAATATAAAAACAACGCTAATAACATTATCTCTGGTTTAAAATGTACGTAGAATTAAAATACATGAAAACAACAGCATATAAGTTGGAATAGGGATAAAAGGGATAAGTAAGGATAAAAGTAAGGTCCCGGACTTCTTTTTCTTCCTTTACTATTCTACAAATACTATTAATTAGTAAAGCACTAATTTCTAGAAGTCAAGAATATATGTCATAATATCAAGAGTAATTTCTAAAAAAGGCATATACAGCTAAGAAGACAACAGGGGAAACATGAGAAATGGCACAATAAAAAATAATTGCTTCCAGTTCAACTAGCTTATTGAAGGATGAGAGACCATATAAAAAAAGGCAAATTATCCCACCTACAGTCCACTAAACCAACTAGCCTATCAGCCAATTATGTATGCGCCCAGACCACCATCCAATCCCAGATAATCCACGAACTGACTGAAGAGCTGCCCAGGCAAATTGGAGATTCCTTAGCCATAGTAAAATAATGGATGCCTTCAGCCACTGAGCATTAGGGTGCCTAAGGTTAATGGTTAGAGCAGAAATAGATAAATGATTCCACACCGAGAAGCTAGGAAAAGGAGAACAAATTAAACCCAAAGAAAGTAGTAATAAAGAAATAACAAAGAGAGTAACACAGCTCAATAAACTACAAAGCAAATATATGATAAAGAAAACTAACAAAGTCAGGGGCACCTGGGTGGCTCAGTCATTTAATCGTCTGACTCCTGGTTTTGGCTCAGGTCATGATCTCAGGACTGTGAGATCAAGCCCCGTGATAGGCTCTGTGCTCAGTGCAGAGTCTGCCTGGATTCTCCCCTCTTGCTCTACCCAGCCCCCTCCCCAACTCATGTTCTCCCTCTCGCTCCTCACTCTCTCTGTCTCAAATAAATAAATAAAATCTTTAAAAAAAAAGAAAACCATCAAAGTCAAAAGTTGATTCCTTGAAAGATTAATAAAATTGACAAACCCACTGTAAAGCAAATGAAAAAAATAATCACAAATTACTAAATGAAGAGAGGGAACATCATTACAGCCTCTACAGACATTAAAAAGGTAAGAAGAGATTATTATGAACAACCTGTAACAATCAATTTGGCAATTTAAATGAACAAATCCCTTGAAAATAACTCACCAAAACAGACACAGTGCTGAAAACTTATAAATCTGATTCTAATGCACTTCCATGTAATTCTTTACATGAGAATGCAAAGTGCCCAAAACACAATATTTAAAGTTATCAAGACTAACTATACAGCTATGATAGTTAAAATAGTTAGAAGCAAGGACAGATAAACAGACCAGTGGAACAAAAGAGTTCAGAAGTTAAACCACAAATTTATAATCACCTGGTTTAATGTTTTTTTTTAGAGGGGGGTGGTGGGCAGAGGGAGAGAGAGAATCTTAAGCAGGCTCCATGCCCAGAGCAGAGCCCAATGCAGGGCTCGATCTCACAACCCAGAGTCACTTGATTTAATTATTAAAATAACACTACTGAGATATGGTTGACAAACAATAAACTGTACATATGTCAAACAATCTGCTAAGTTTGACATGTGTATATAACCATAAAACCGTCACCACTAGCAAGATAATGAACATATCCATCTCCACAAAAAGTGCTGCTTTAAAATGTCTCTCCCGGGCACCTGGGTGGCTCAGTTGGTTAAGAATCTGCCTTCGGCTCAGGTCATGATCCCAGGATCCTGGGATTGAGTCCCACATCGGGCTCCTTGCTCATCGGGGAGCCTGCTTCTCCCTCTGCCTGCCGCTGCCCATGCTTGTGCTCTCTCTCTCTCTCCCTCTGACAAATAAAATCTTTAAGAAAATAATAGTAATAAAAATAAAATGTCTCCCCCTTCTGCCTGTTCTACCCACCTTTACCCATCTCCAGATAATCACTGATCTGCATTTTTTCACTAAAGACTAGTTCTGCGTCTTCTATAGTTTTATACAAATTTAATCATATGCTATTACTATTTTATTTCTGACTTCTTTCACTTAACAGAATTATTTTGAGATTCATCCATGTTGTAGCATGTATCAAGAATTCATTCCCTTTTTTTTGCTGAATAGCATTGCATTGTATGGGTGTACCACAGTTAGGTTTGTGTATTTACCTACTGATAAGACATTTAGGTTGTTATTAGTTTTTGTCTAACAAATAAGGTTACAATGAATATTTATATACAAGTCCTACTATAAAATTATGCTCTTGGCCAAATACCTAGAAGTAAAATGGCTAGATCACATTATAGGTGTATATTTAACTTTTTCAAAAGCTGTCAAACTATTTTCCAAAATAGTTGTGCCACCTCACATTTCCTCCAGCAGTGCATGAGTTCTAGCTGCACATCTTCACCAACACTTGGCATGATCAGCCTTTTCCAATTTTAATTGTTCTACAGTGCTGTGTGGGGACAGATGGTAGCTACATTTGTGATAAGCATAGCATAACGTATAAAAAATAATAATTTTAATCATTCTACTAAATATGTTTAAGGTTTTAATTTGCATTTCCCTAATAAGTGATAATGTTAGACATCTTTTCATGTGCTTATTTGCTATCCTCATATCTTCTTTGGCAAAGAGTCTATTCAAATACTCTACCCATTAATTGGGTTGTTTCTTATTATTGAGTTTTGAGAAATCTTTATATATTCTGGATCAAAGTCCTTGATCAGATATATGATTTACAACTATTTCTTCCAGGTCTGTAGTTTGTCTTTTCATTCCCCTTAACAGGGTCTTACAAAGAACAGAAGTCTTTTTAATTTTTATAGTCCAATTTATCAATTAGTTATTTTACAGTGCCATATCTGAGAAATTTTCATCGAACCCAAGGTTTCAAAGCATTTCTCCTATGTTCTGCTCTTTTTGAAGTTTTACAGTTTAAGGTTTTACATGTAGGTGTATGACTCATTTTTCAGTTAGTTTTTGTATATGGTGCCCAAGATAGACCAACACTCACTTTACCTAATTGTTTCAACAGCATTTGTTTAAAAGTCCATCTTTTCTCGAGGAGGTTATCTTTACACCTCTGTTAAAAATCAGCTATCCCATATATATATGGGCCTACTTCTGTGCTCTCTGTTCTGTTTCACTGATCTATTTTTCTGTCGTTTTTATACCAAAATTATGCTGCCTTGATAAATGGAACATTTATATGAAGACTTGAAACAAGGTAATACTAGTTCTCCAACTTTGTTTTTTTTCAAAGAGGTTTTGAGTATTCTAGGCCATGTGCATTTTCACGTAAATTTTAGAGTCAGTTTGTCAAAATCTACAAAAAAGAGTCTCATAGGATTTTTAATTGTGTCTGAATCTACTGAAATTTGAGTAAAGTTGACATCTAACATTGAGTCTTCTTACCCATGAACTCAGTATCTCTACTTATTTACATATTCAATTTCTTTCAGCAATGTTTTTTTATTTTTCAGGGTACAAACCTGTTACAACTTTTGTCAGACTTATCTATAAATATATTTTTAGATACTAAGAGATATACTATTTTTTAATTTTAACTTTTTAGTAGTATATAGGAATATAATTGATTTTTCCATATTTATCTTATATCCTGTCCCCTTTGCTAAACTAAATTCACTTTTTAGTTCCACCAACATTTTTGTAAATCTCATCAGATTTTTTAAATGGACACTCTTATGAACTGCAAATAAAGTTTCACTGCTTCCCCTCCAATTTGGATGCCTCCATAATACTGGTGAACCATATCTTATCAGCTGAGGGCCTCCAGAGCAAAACCAGGTTTCCCTGAGAAGACAGAATTCTGCCTCAATACTGTAGCACAGATTTCCTGAGCTTCCAGCCTGCCAGCCTATCCTATGAATTTTGGACCCAAGACTGCAACTTCAACTCTTGCCTCAGTTTCCAAGCTGCCATTCTGCCCTACAGATTTCAGACTTGCGGGGCCCCACGATCAAGTGAACCAATTTCTTAAGAACCTCTTCATTCCGTCCTTCCCCTATCTCTCCAGGTCACCAGCTGTCTGTATGTGTGTGTTCCTGTGTCTGTATGTGTATGTATTCTACTCCTTTGGAAGAATCCTGACACATTGTTAAACACTCCACAAATCTCAGAATAGTTTCCACAGCAAATAATTACCAGACTCAAAATGTCAGTCGTACTGTACTGACACCGAGAAACCCTGTGCTAGGTCAAAAGGGAAAAAAAAATTAACACATATACACATACATAATAATAAATTGAAAAAGGACATAGACTTATTCAAATAGTTGAATACTCTTCTTTTTTTTTTTTTTAAAGATTTTATTCATGAGAGAGAGAGAGCACAAGCAGAGGGAGGGGTAGAGGGAGAGGGAGAAGCAGGCCTCCCGCCGAGCAGGGAGCCCGATGCGGGACTTGATCCTAGGACCCTGGGATCACAACCTGAGTCAAAGGCAGATGCTTAACTGAGCCACCCAGGCGTCCCAATAGTTGAATATTTTTCATCTTTAATAGATACTACTTTTTCCTTTTACTATTTCGATGTCATTAATTTTATTGAGTATTAATTACATAAATAAATGAAAGTACCCCTAAAAGAAAGAGAAAATTGTGGTAAAGAAGTTTAAATTTCCCACAAACTATGCAAATTTTTTCCGATTTGCACTTTACAATTACGTACTGATACAAGGAAAGCTACTTACTTCTCAAAGCCTCCACATTTTCACCTTTCTTTCTGTATGTCTTCTGAATACCACTGATTCTGAAAAACACCATTTTCTACTTAAGTATTTAAGGTAAATTATAAGGATGTGTGTTTCCATGTATAATATTTTTATCAAAGCTGTCATATTTAATAGGAATAATAATAAAGTACCTTTCTACTAAAATAAACCTAAGAAAGCCGACAATAATTATAAAATTATTTTAAAGAAACCACAGAAGTATATAGTACTCCTCTCCATTTTAAGTGTTATTCATTCATTTTTCATAACCACCTTCTAAAAATAAAGCATTTGGCCCAAGCAATTTATAGATTTCTTTTCATCTTTGATACTTTTCTATTTATAATTTATCAAATACTTGTGATATCAGTTAAGGGAGACTAAAAATCAAATGCTAAATTTCACATCAGCAGACACTTCAAACTATCTATAAATGTGAAGTGGTTCTCTCATTCCACTTTAAATGTCTTAAATAACTTTTTAAAGAATTAATGGTTTCGTTACCCAGTTTAAATTTTGCCCTTGAGAAGGCAGACCATTAGCTCACTTATTACATCTTAAGTATTTGGCTCTCTCTTGCTTTTATATATTTCTCTTAAATTTGAAAAACACTTTTCTTCCATTTTTCTTTTATTTCTTTTCTTTTTCCTGTTATTTTTTAAATTTGGTTTTGACTGATTTAGCAAGGCATAGTAGTGAATTTCTTTAGTTCACAGAAATTAAACTGATACTTTAATAATTACCTCACAATACCCAAAGGCCTATGAAATTAACAAAGGACAACATAGACAATGTAGCCTGAATAAAATTATAAAGTTAATATTTATTCTGTTTCAATCTACATAATGGAGCAAATCTGAAAACAGCTTAATTGTAAAATAATAGGTTTTATTACTTTAAAAAAATTTCCAATGAAACACAAAATTTCAAACCTAGCACCTTATTCTAAATGGTTACAAAGAAAATAAGAACTTAAAAGAAACTAGCTCATATTAATACTGTGTTTTAAAAATCATGAGATGTGTACCAAATCTCTTAAGATATAATACTTATATACATTTTTTAAAAACAGGATTTAAACGTAGCAGGTTCCATCAATACTTCTTATACCTAGACTGCCAAAGATTAAATGATACCTTATGGCTTCTTTTCCCATAAATTCTGAAGAAACAGGCTCAACAATTTCACTAAAACTGATATTCCCATTAACACTGCCCTCTGATAACTCCTTATAATTTCTTTTGCTCTTTGACCAATATGATGGCTTTAGAAAATATAAAGATGATCTCCGTAAGCCAAATTCCCCTGAAAAACAAAAAAACTTAATTATCATAACAAATTATTTCTAAAAACTAGGTTTTGAATCATAAAAGCAGTATGTGAAACTTATGACCTAGATCCAATGTTTACATAAAAAGTATTAAATCAGCATTGGGTGAAAAATAAGTTTTACTGACAAATAATTCCAGTCCATAAACAGTCTGAGATACTCAAGAGTGCATGAGAATATAAAGGTGAGTGAAATGCTGCAAATGACATATCAGATAAAGGGCTAGTATCCAAAATCTATAAAGAACTTATCAAACTCCACACCCAAAGAACAAATGATCCAATCAAGAAATGGGCAGAAGACATGAACAAACATTTTTCCAAAGAAGACATCCAAATGGCCAACAGACACATGAAAAAGTGCTCAACATCGCTCGGCATCAGGGAAATCCAAATCAAAACCTCAATGAGATACCACCTCACACCAGTCAGAATGGCTAAATTAACAAGTCAGGAAACGACAGATGTTGGCGGGGATGCGGAGGAAGGGGAACCCTCCTACACTGTTGGTGGGAATGCAAGCTGGTGCAGCCATTCTGGAAAACCGTATGGAGGTTCCTCAAAAAGTTGAAAATAGAGCTACCATACGACCCAGAAATTGCACTACTGGGTATTTACCCCAAAGATAGAAATGTAGGGATCCGAAGGGGTACGTGCACCCTGATGTTCATAGCAGCAATTTCCACAATAGCCAAACGATGGAAAGAGCCAAGATGTCCATCGACAGATGAATGGATAAAGAAGATGTGGTGTATATATATACAATGGAATATTATGCAGCCATCAAAAGGAA